ACCGTCCTCGCAGCCGACAGTCCACCGCCTGCTAAAGAAGCACAGCGACGAATGCGGCACCGGCGACGCATGGCAGGCTGGTCATGACGCAGTTATAGGGTGCTGTGTGCCGTCAGAGTGACTATCTGTGTGTCAGTGATAGTCAGGGCTGTCCATCAGAGCTCCAGTAAACTCGGAGACACCCCATTAGCGCGGCTCGGTTTGGCTGTAGAGCCTCTACAACCAACTCTACAGCAAAATCGCGCTCTACATCGCTCTACATCGGACTCACACATCGTCCCGCGCCGGATGTAGAGCTCTACAGCTCTACAGCGCTCTACACTCTACATCCTCTACACCCTCCCTCAGCGCTCTCCAACCACTCACACGCGACATTGAGTCGAAGGGAGAAGGGTGGACAAGAAATGCTTGCGCCCGTCCGCCCTCGATGTCCGCGAGGCGCGAGCGTGTGCGCTGTGCGGTGTGGCCGCCCCGCGTGTGTGCGTGTGAGCGCCGTCTCGTGCGCCCTGGCTCTCGCGCCAGCGTTGAGAAGCTATTCACGTGCTCGCGACGGGCGCTTGTCTGGAAAAAGAATACGCGGTTGTCGGTGTGAACGGCTTTCTAGGAAGCGTGAGGCACACAGAGTCCCCCCTCAGACGGACCGAGACACCTCCGCAGGAGGCCCCGCCGCTGATATCTGCGGCACTGCGTGATGGCCAACTTCAACTGCGTCACCGGAGCGCCCGCTCTTGGCCAGCCGTTCTGCCCGTGCCTGTGCTGCCCGTGCTGCCTGGGCGACTCATTCCTCAGCGCCTCGAGCGGCATCACCGTGACTCACGTGCGCCGTAGTCTTCCCGTAGAGCGGCAGGCCACGCCTCCTTCACACTGCGGCACGCTGGCGCTCACACCGTCTCTCACGTCGCGGAAGCCGTCGTGCTCCGCCACGCGCCTCCTGCCCTCACTGTGCCCTTCCCCTCGCCATGCTACAAGTACGACGCCGTCGTCGGCAAGCTGGCACCCGTGGCGATCCCGCTTCTCGTCTCGCTCGGCCCGTGCTTCCAGCCGTGCTACAAGCTCAGCGACGCCACCGGCGTTTGCTGCGTGGCCACCGACCCAAAGCGCCCGTCGGCTTCCTCCAAGCCGGTCGTCATCTTCGCCAAGCGCACCGTCGCGGACCTCTCCACCTATACCGCCGCCTTTACAAAGTACGGCACCGCCGCGATGGAGGGCCCTGGCGTCCGCGCCTGCTTCTCCTTCGTCGACCGCGACACGGACAACACCGTCGTGCAGTTCACCTGGGCCGACTCCGCGTCCGACCTCCCTGCGGTGCCGGCCGACCTGGCCGCCTGCTACGCGGGCGGGCCGGAGAGCGACTTTTGCGTCGTCTGGGGCGGCTGGGACGCGGCCGTCAAGGAGGCGCTCGAGGCCGACCCCAAGTGCAAGTACGAGTTTGGCACCGAGACGCGCGGCTTCCTCAAGTCGCCCGGCGCCGAGACGGCCGCGGGCTTTGCAACAGGCAGCCCGCCGATGATCTGGATCTCGAAGCGCAAGATCAAGCCGGGCATGCTCCCCTTCGGCGGCACGCACTTCCAGTACGGTACCGACATGATGTACCCCGCGGCGCCGGCCGCACTCGGGATCGCCGAGATCACGGCCGACGGACCCGACGCCACGTGGAGCCTCCGCGTCTTCAACGACTACAACATGGGCTTCAAGGCCCACTTCCCGGTGCCCTCGTGCATCCTCTGCCGGATGGCCTTCAACGTCATCCCGACGTGGGAGCCGGGCAAGTTTGCCGTCGGCTACAACTTCTCGTCGAAGGCGATGAGACCCCCCCCCCCCCCCTCCCCCCCCCCGCACCACCACACGCACCCAACACCTGCAGCTCACGGCACCCCAAGATCTCTCACGCTGGAGCAGCGCCACATAACCGCTCTGGCCCGCCCTGCTTCAGGAGTACATCGAGGCTGCCGTCGCCTCCAATCCGGGGAACGCGTCGTACACGCCGTACTTCTACGCCGCCGGGCTGATTGGTCCGGAGCCCGACTTCGGCAAGGGGATGACCCTTACCGCCCCCAAGCCAATGGACATGCACTAGCGGTGCGACGAAATCCACCCGAAGCCGCAGCTCGTAGCACGAATGTGTATATCCTGTCCACCGTTGTCTGGAGGCTGCCCTTGAGGCTCGCTCACACAGCAGGTGGCAGCAGGGACACGAGGGAGAGTGTTCACGCTTGGTCTGCCCCGCTCGCGTGGGCCGTGGGGCGCGTGGGCTAGCCGTGGCACCTGTGTCTGCATTTCGTTTTCGAGAGAGACGTGTATACGTGGGAACGGCCAGCCAACACCACATGTAGGCGCTTCGTATATATACACACATACTGGAAAGAAATTTGCATTTTGCTCGCGCTCTCCGCTGGCACTCTGAGATTGAGTGTCTGTCGAGTGTCGTCGCGCGCACTGCGCACGTGGCACGTCGACGACGAGACGTCCACACCCTTCTGTCGTACGTGTACGGTACGTAGCTGTGAGGTCTAGCACGCTCACTTTCTCAGTCACGCCTTAGCTTCTGGCTGTGCGCTTGGGCGCCCTCACGCATCCTTGCTCTTGGCGACGCGCCCGTTGCCTCGCGAGAGGAGGAAGGCGGCCACATACAAGACGGCCTGGCAACCGACGAGGAGGAGGAAGGGCTTGAGCTTGGCACCGGACACCGGGTCGTACTCGTCTGCCGCTGCGGGCAGGAAGGGCAACAGTCCTGCGTTCTGCGAGTTGACCACCTGGAGATGCCACATTCTCTCAGCCGGGAACCCGTGGCGTGTGAGAGCGGTGAAATCCGGCCCTGTTGTGAATCAGTTGTGAATGTGGTTTTGTGAGAAGCCACCTGAACAATGCAGGCCCACACCGAGTGCATGAAGTGGATTACCGCCACCTATTGTGCAGATATTGCCGCGTTTGATATCAACCGCAAATCTCCCTTCCGAAGCTTGCCTGCCTCATCCGTGCCCTTTGAGAGGAAGAGCAGGGCGTACACCGAGCCCGCGCCCATCCCGATGAACTGGCAGCACTCGCCGCGCATCGCCGCGAAGGCGAGCGCGAGCATGTCCTTTTCCGCCTGGCCGCCAGTCCGCTGCACAGACGTTGTAATCGCGTGGCACTCTTCCGCAGATACGCCGACAAAGCCAAATGCGTTGCACGAGTCGAGCAGGCCACCGGCGGACTGGACGAGGCCGAGGTGAACCACGGCAGAGACGACGAAGGCCAGGGTAGATATCGAACGCGCGAGGCTCATCACGCTGTCGTGTGACAATATGCTGTCAGAGCTGTCAGAGCTCCGCCGGACCGGAGCTGAAACGCCACATATCCGTACCTGGCTTTGAAGAAAAACACAACTCTGGTCGGTCTCTACCAATTGAACACTTTCCCTCTCACAGCCGGCCCAGACAGAGCTCACGACCGACCGCCCCGCCCGATCTATGCCACTGACCTATAAACTGACCGCCGCCCGCCACGCACGGGCGGGAATCGCCCCAGACTGGTTCGAACTCATGACTCCCATGACGCATGAATGCGGAAACGATGGCTGATTCGGGCGGCGAAGTAAGCATCTCGGCAGGCTCGCCGCGCGCAGTCCACGTGATCAAGGGCAAGGAAGCTCAAAACTCGCACGTCCACAACTCGCACTCTCAGTCGAACCCTCAACAATGACGGACCACCACTTCATGTCGACGCGCGTGCCCACCAAGCCGGTCAGCAACGCGGTGCACGCCGGCTACGACGGCGCCGCGAAGCGCGAGGACGGCATCCCGCTCTACGGCATGGACAAAGAGCTCGCCGACAAGGCGGCGGCCAAGTTTGACCCGAAGATGGAGCGCGAGGCGCGGGAGTGGATCGAGGCGGTGACGGGCGAGGCGCTCGAGGGCACGCTCCAGGAGGCGCTCAAGTCGGGCGTCGTCCTCTGCGCCCTCGTCAACGCGCTCAAGCCCGGCGTCTGCAAGAAGCCGTCGACAATGAAGATGGCGTTCCAGCAGATGGAGAACATCGCCAAGTACCTCGAGGCGTGCAGCGCGCTGGGCGTCCCGAAGCACGACCTCTTCCAGACCGTCTCGCTCTACGAGAACCAGGACATGATGGCCGTCATCACAAACATCCACTCGCTCGGCCGCGTCAGCGGCAAGGTGCCCGGCTACGGCGGCCCGACCCTCGGGGCGAAGCTTGCGGACAAGTCGGTGCGGCACTTTGACGAGGAGACGCTGCGCAAGGGCCGGGCGGAGCAGACCTTCCTCGGCAAGGGATCGCACGGCAACGCCTCGCAGGCCGGCACCGTCGACACCAGCCGCAACATCGGCAAGATGGACAAGGTCCGCGGCATCGACGGCCTGGGGACCGACGCCAGCGTGACGGCGGTGGGGATGGGCTCGCACGGGCACGCGTCGCAGGCGGGCACCGTCGACACCAGCCGCAACATCGGCAAGGTGGACCACGTGAAGGGCATCGACGGCCTGGGAACCGACGCCAGCGTGACGGCGGTGGGGATGGGCTCGCACGGCCACGCCTCGCAGGCGGGCACCTTCGACACGTCGAAGAACATCAGCAAGGTCGACCACGTGAAGGGCATCGACGGGCTCGGCGGCGACGGCACCACGACCGCGGTCGGCATGGGCTCGCACGGGCACGCCTCGCAGGCGGGCACGTTTGACACGTCGAAGAACATCGACCGGACGACCAACATCAAGGGCATCGACGGGCTCGGCACGGACGGCATCTCGCAGATCAACCTGGGCTCGCACGGCCACGCGACGCAGGAGGGGATGGGCAAAATGCACGGCACGCGCGAGATTGTGCACCAGACCGTTGGCGGCGCGGCGGCAGCGGCGTGAGGAGCGGCGCAGTTGAGAGAGGCTGCCGCTCGGTTGTTGATATTTATTGGATATTGCGGTACCGCATGGACGGCCGGTTGAGTTCTAGAGTTCAGAGCTGCTGATACCCGTGTTGGAGTGTCTATTTATCCTCCGTTGAGAGACAGTACGAATATTTCGCTATCAAAGCCGATATCGGAACATATGACCGACGAGACACCTCCCTATCTTGTGGACTTCCTCTGTGGCCCGCGTGCGGTGCACGCGACAATTGTGCCTGTGGTACTCCTGTTCTGATCGAGCACCGTACCAGCCACCCACAGCCACCCTACAGTCAACCACTACCGTGGTCACCTTCCCCGAATCGCCTCGCGTAGCCCCTCGCGCAATCCCTCGGCGATCGCCTCGCCTATCGCCTGAAGCACGACGTTGACGACCCACGCGACAAGTGCACAGCAGACGAGCCAGACTGCCCCGCACACAAGAATGGTGGTGGCCACGCCCTTGAGGGCAAACGTGCCTCCGCACCACCAGGTGATCCCAATCGCGCAGACGAGCCGCGGTACCGGTCCTTCGGGCATCGCAACACGAAGGCTATTTCGGGACGTCACGGGTGCGGCCTCCCGCCAGTCAAACTGCTGGCCGCAGCGACAGCGCATTTGGTTGCAGCCTCCCACCTTCTCAATGGGGCCGTGACAGCCGGGGCAGCGCCGGACGTGCAGGTGCAAGGGCACGATCAGCTCAGACGAGCAGGGTGCACCACGACCGGAGTCTGGACTTCCGCGACTGCCAAACTCGGACAGCCTGCGAAGGTCGGCTGGTAGCTCGGCGCTGCAGATGGGGCACGCACCACTCTCCCTTGCCCATCTTTGAATGCATGCCGCGTGATAGCGGTGGCCGCAGCTCATGCGGGACCAGCGGCCGACACCGTCACCTTCGTCCGTCTCCAGGCAGATCGCGCAGCACTCGTTGACGCTCATGCCGGTGGATGCGCGTTCGTCCGTGTGCTGGCAGCGCTTGCGCGAGGGCGCCATGCAGCGAGCGAGCGCAGTTGCGACCCTGCTGGCGAGGCCGGACATGGCACTGGGACGTGTCCCGACCGAACCCCGACCGGCACAAGTTTTTCTTTTTTCTTTAATTTCTCGAATTATCGGCCTTTAACTCTGCAGACGGGCCCCTCCACCCTTCTAATCATCTAGTCCCCACATCCGCAATCGTGGCTTCGCTTAAATATTTTGTTTTTTCCGCAGAAAGAAAGAAAGAAAACAGACAACCCTAGGGAGGGTTGGGAGGACGGCACGCCGCCACCACACAGGGATTTTAAGGAGAGGTGTGTGGTGCGCTAGCCGTCGCCCACCCTTGGGCGTCTGCCTCTTCCTATCTCTCTTCGCAGTCCCTCGCCGATTCTCGCTGCAACCTTCATGCCACCTCGCGGTCTTCCCACTCTCGTCGTTCTCTCTCTTGTCGCTTCTTCCTCTGTCGCTTCGCTCCCCTCTGCCTCGTTCTGCGACGACGCCGCTGCCTGCCGATCCCTTGCTCTCGCCTCTCGGCGTAACTCTGCCCTCCTCGCGGCATATCCTGGCCCCTCGAGTTTATCGAGCTCTCCTCGCGCAAGGATGACTCTTCTGACGCCCACTGCGATCATTTGCCGCCAAGTCATATCGTTGCTCAGGTCCACTCTCTCTTCGGACACTTGTACCTCCACGGCTGATGCTGGCGCTGGGGTCCCCTTCGCGGGTGCATCGTTACAGCTGACGACGGGATTACCACTGGTGTTTCGTCTTCCCCGGCTTCCTCCCGTTCGGCTCTACGTTCAGCACGTTCAGCGTGGCTCACCCTCCATGCCGTGAACAGGCGCTTTATCCACCCTATATTCTTCTATCTCGTTCCTCTGCCCTTGGCCTTGCCTTGGTCTTGTCGTTGTTTCGCATCCATGTCAGTATGGCGATCGAGGCTGCCTTCCCCACTACCTGTAGTTCTCTCGTCACCTCTCCTGCGAGCTCCCCTCTCTTTCTTTCGGGTATGGAGTCCGTGATGCGGGCAGCGTGCAGGCAATCACGGGCGCTAATTTGTCGTACTCCTCTTCGGCGAGCGCCCCAAATCTAGACCCTTTCGCCTTTAAGGAGGCTGCCCTCGCTCGTCTCAGGAATGTGGCGGTGTCTTTTGAGTCCGGCGCCTCCCGTTCGACTCTTGCTGTCGCCGGGTAGGATCTTGCTTCGCTTCGCGCCGACACAGACCGCGCGGGCGTCTCCCACAGGCGGCGCGTCATGAAGAGCTCCGCCGCCTTGGCCGTGATGAAGAGCGCGTCGGCGGAGTGGCGCGCCCCGCTCCCGTCCTCGGCGAGATTGATGATACGGCGCATCGCTGCGTTGGGAAACGCGCTCCTTGCCTCGCGCGCCTCTTTTGTGGCTTTCCCTAGCCGCCTTGCACGCTCTGCATCCCCAGAACGCACTTCTCGTGGCGGGGCCCCTCATTCCCCGTTTCGTTCCCCCCCCTAGAATACGCCTGTGGTGCGCCCCGTGTGGCACCCCGACCTGTTGTCTCACCCTGGCTCCCAAGATCGTTTTGGTCGTCACAATCATTGTGACCCCCGACGTCGTCAAATGTCGCTCGCCTGTCCTTCCCCCCGTTCTCATCTGGCAATCTCATCTTATTGTCCCATGGGTGTTTGAGGCTGGCTACAGCCACTTCGCTCCACAGCCGTCCCGCCACCCCTGCCGTGTGCGATCCCGGCCTCACCGTCTTTCGAAATTGTCCGCACACCCACTCGTGCGCGCTCTGACACATGTGCCCGTACGTCCGTCGGTCCACTATCTCCCTCTTCTCTGTGTCCTCTGCCGCCTCCCTTCGCGTCGTGTACATGCATGGCCTAGTTCGCACCGCGTCCCGCACCACTTTTGAGGCGTCCTCCGTATCGTTGTTTCCGAGGTATGCTGTCGCTACTGCGTCGGCGTATGCGTTGCAGGCTATTCCCACGTGCGAAGGCACCCACACAAAGACCACCGCCTCTAGCTTCGATCTATAGTAAGCAATCGCCTCTAGGAGACCGCCTCTCTCCCAGTCCCTCAGGCCCTCTGGCATCCCTTTGCGGTGCGCATTCTCAATCTGCTGCAGCGCGGGTTTGCAGTCGCATAGTACTAGGCACCGTCGCGTCTGCGTCGCTCGCGCTCGCCATTTTGCGTAGGTATGCGAGTATCGCGTACATCTCCGCGTCTATCGGCTCCCACGTGCTCGGCAGCTTTCCTCCCCACATTCCCGCCCCAAACGCTGTCCGTATCTCCCCTTCTTCACAGGGTCCGATTCCGTTGGGATCCTTTACCTGTGCGTCTCCCGGGGCGCGCCTCCCAAATCGCGTCGGTCCTTCGAACACGCCGTACGCCACCCTAGGGTTCGGTACGTACTTTCTATCCTCAGCCAGTTTGTCTTCATGGTCCTTTCCTCCGTCCGTCGCCGCAAAGTGTGTGAACTGGTGTGAAACGTGCAGCGCGAGGCATGTCTGCGCTACTTTCACGTTCAGGGCTCGTCCCTTCCCCGATCGGAGCGGCTCGCTGTCCTTTCCCATCTTGATTTGCGCTCCCTTGCCGTCTCTCAGCTCTCCCCCCGTCTCAAACTCGTCGTATCAGAGCAAGAAGCGCGTTAGGGGGTCCTCCTGTAGCTCCCCTACTCTGATCGCGCTCGCCCCGTGTCCGTATCCCACGAACAGCTCGTAGCCTTCTTTCTGCCAGTTTATGTGCCTCTGGGGCCCTCCCTCTGGGAACAGCGGCTCATCCGCCCCGAGGCTCCCCTCCTGTCGCTCCCTCTCCTGCCTCTCCATCATCTTTCTCACCGCGTCCTTCGTGATCTTATTTTGCTCGGGTATCTCCTCCTCCCATGTCGCATTCGTGTCGAGGCCCGGGGTCCCCTCCAGTTTTACCACTCGATTGTCCCCGTCCTCTCTCGACCCCAGGTGTGTGCCGCTATCTTGCGCCGGTTTCTTCCCTCCGAGGTAGAGCGTCCTGGCCCTCCCCTCCACTCGGATGTCCGTCTTGGTTCGCCCTTCTTCGAACGTGTGTTCTGTCATGTTGGGGCCGTGTGTGCACAACCCGTTTACCTCCCTGCTGTAATCGATGAATCGATCGAGCACATCGCTCCACGACGGTGCATTACCTTTCCCATCGCACGTCTCTAGTGCTCTGTCCGCTTGCGCTGCCTCCGGCCCCGAACTACCTAGCCTTCTGCGGTGCTCTAGCCACTCTCGGAAGGACGCCGCTTGCCATCTCACGCCTTGCGCATGCATCAGCTCCCGCTCCCATGTGTTAGCCAAATCACCGACATACTCTACGCTCGCCATCTTATCATGCCACACCCAACTGTCGCTCTGCTCGCCTTCCCATTCGCAGAGGTACTCCCATCCGTGTCCGTCCTCCTCTCTGCCCCCCCCGTAGCAGGTCGGCGCCTTCCTTGCTGCCTTCACCTTCAGCACCCTGTCGGGCGCCCTCCATCCCGTCTCCTGACCGTGTGCGCGCCCTTCTATAACCGCCCACTTCCAGTATTGTCGCAGCTGTGCCCACTCTGGTCGCTCCATCCAGCTGCTCCGCCAGCCTCGTGTATTCGCTGTGTTCCGTCGTGTTGTCTCTGAGGCCATAGACTCGCTTCATTTGCCGCCACGTCAACACTTCCCCGGTGCCCCGTTCTGGCACTCCGACCATGTCGCTATCCCCTGCTTGGCTAGGTTGCGTGCGAAGTCGCATGCGAGCGAGGCCTTGGTTATTCCAGCCGTGGCGCCTCGTCTCGAAGAGGAGCGGGCCCAATACTCTCTTTCGGCTCTCTGTCGTTCTCCACGCCTCGGGTCTAAGCCGCCCCTTCTTACTCTCTTCCCACCCGTGTCGCCGCCCTTGTTTTTTCGCTTTCTCTCGCCATTCGACTTGTTCTCTAACTACCCGCAATTGACGCTATTCTGACTCGCCAAAGAAATCTGACTCCAACGCCGAATTTGTAACAAGCGCTGCGCCGGCGCCGCGCCACAGCTTGCCGAGCGCCGGCCACAGGCCTGCCTGCAGCCCAGCCACACCCGCCGCGGCGGCAGCTAGTCGGTTCGGCCTTGACTCGCGCGCGCCGAGATGGGAGCCCAAGTATGTGAGCGCGCGGCGCGTCGACACGCCTCCGCTTTTGTAACAAAGTCTGCTTGGCTTGTGCAGGTGATGCCCAGAGCTGCAGCGGCGACGCCGGCAGCCTCGTCTCGACCTCAGAGGCTGCCGGCGTGACCATAGATCTGTGCTCTATCCGTCGGTGGTTCACCGTACACGCCTGTGTAGGAGCGGCTCTCGCGTCGCTACGCGCCGCCGAAGGCTGTCTATGAGGGCACACCCGAGGAGGCGCGGATCTCAACCTGCGTGCGGCGGTGACCAGGTCACAGGCATCGGCTGTGACACTGGAGAGTCGAGCAGCGGCACTGAGGATGCCTTTCAGGTCATTCCAGCGACCCACGGAGCACGGTCTCAGTGCGCAATCACTCTACTAGATCCCATCCTTGCCGGGCCTCTGCGAATGTAGGTACCGAGTTCATGCGTGCCCAGTTACAGGCTCATACTGCCTGGTCTCCAGCACCTATGATCACCGCGCCAGGCCGCAGTCGACGACTTTTGTGTGCGCTGGCCGCACTCAACCGTTGAGTCGCGGTGTATCAGCCTGACCACACTCGGGACCGCGTAGGCGATGTGGGCGACTCTGGCCGTCCTGCATATGACCGACCATGACCCAGGAGGAGTCTACACGAGACATGTCGTACCTGGCAGGCGCTCTCGCGGCAGCACTATCGCGTGCGGCCGAGTGCGAGCTTCCGTGCCCGGTGCCAGACGCACTCGGCGCCAGACGTCCTCGGGAGCTCGCAGTTTTGCCACGGCAGTTGCGATCCGGGCGATCAGAGAGCGCCGGCAGCTCAGGGGATCTTGTCTGCTCACCTGAGGTCGGGAGGGTAGCAGCGGCGAGGCCATGCGCCAGCGTGAGCCATCCGTATTAACGGTTGTTACAGATTAGTCAGATTTGCCGTGACCGCGTTCCGAGGTCACGATTTCGGCGTTCTCGTGTTGACCACTGTGGGTGTGCCTGGCACTTCTGGATCATGTCTCTCGGTGTCCTAGCACCCCCAGGCGATGGGTTTCACGGCCCCGTACCGCATGGGGCGCAAGGCCTCGCGCCGCGCGTGTGGTTCAAACTTTGTTACACCCCAGTCAGAATAGCGTCAATTAGGGGTAGGCGCGACCAGAGAGGCTACGGCGCTGCGGCGCCTGGCGGCGCCCAGAGCTGGCCGACGGCACAAAACATGCACCTGCACATGGGACCCGCGACCCGCTCCTCAGCCATTCTTCTTGCTGTGTTGCTCTCCTGTTCCGCCGCAGCCGCCGCGCATGCTCCGCGTCGGGCAGTACTCGTCGGCGGAGCGTTGGGATGCCTCGTGCCGCAGCCTTCGCCGGCAGCCTCGCCAGCCGCCGCGCCAGCCGCCGCGTCCGCGCCCGCCGCAGTGACGGACCGAGGCTTCATCGACCTGCGCGTGATCCGCAGCTTTGACGTCGACAGCGGCGTCCTGGAGGACGCGGCCGTGCGAGGGCGCGTCCAGTTCGAGCTCTACGGCAACGACGCGCCTAAAGCGGTGGAGCGATTCAAGGGCTTTGTGAAGGGCGACATTGGCCAGTTCCGGTCGAGCAGCGACGGGCCGTCTTACCGCACCGGCGCCTTCACCACCCTGCGGCCCGGAGTGATCCTGCAGGGCGGGCGTATCAACGGCCTGCGGCTCACGGAGTTTGCTGGCGCGCAACAGTACGAGTACGGCTCGCGGCTCGTCCCGCTCGATGGCGTGGTCGAGGTGAACGAGCTCAAGCATGACCGGCGCGGGCTGATCACGCGGCGCCAGTTCTCGGCGGGGCCCGAGTTTGGCATCACTCTCGGCCCGGCGCCGCAGCTGGACAGCGGCTGGGAGGTGATCGGGCGGCTGTCGCAGGACTCGGCCGGGCTGCTGCCGCTCATCGAGGGCCTCCCGTACATCACGGGGCGGAGCCTCGAGGAGCCCGGCTCGGTCGCCGACAACGTGTTCAACGCGCAGAAGAGCCTCTTCACATCCCTGTCAAAGACCATCGGCGACAGCCGCGCGGAGGACAGGACGGGGCAGCTCCTGCGGCGCGTCGAGATTGTCAACTGCGGGCTGCTATGAGGCGCAGGGGCGGTTGCCTTTGTGAGACAAGACACATTTATTTTCTTGGGGCGAACGCAGGAAAAAGAAACGATCAGCCAGTCCGATCGGCTGTTTGTATATATACTCTAGGAATATATACGCGACCCCTAACTTTAATCTTTTGATTATGTGCGTATCTCCTTAACCTGTCACAGCTGTGGCAGCCGCACAGTAGGCTGTGTCAACTGTGCAGAGTGTGTGAGCAGCAGAGGAGCTGCTCTCCAGGCTTCTGTCGCAAAGAGCTGCATGCCACCGAAAGCGCTGTCGAGGTTCGCCGAGCGCGGCGAAATCCGGGGACGCCGTCACCGACGAGCGCGTTGGAGTATTCACTCCGGACAAAGACGGGCACACAGCGGACGGTGCGGGGCGTGTGCCCGTCATAGCGGCGAGGCGCGGGACCGTCTGTGGCGAAGTGGGTCGCGTCCCCGGATTTCCGTCAACCCATCATCCACCCTCTATATACGCGACCCCTAAATTTATGATTATGTGCATACGGGTATGCCGTATCCTATCTCCTTAACCTGATAGAGCCGACCGGTACGCGGTACGCGCACACGTGTGCCCCATACGTGAGTCGCTTGGGTTTGAGTTCGCCAGCAAAAAGAGAGACAAAAGGAGAGTGTGCGAGCCGTCCGCGCGCTCAGATATTCGCCCTCGGCGCTCGGGCGTCTGAAAGAAAGAAAAAGGCAAACCAAACGAGGGATGGGACAGGGAGGAGGACAAGCACAAGGTCCCCACCTGCACGAGCAGGATTTTGGAAGGACGATCAGGGACACAGGGGAACGGGAGTGGGGAGCGCATCGCGACACGGAGGGGGGCTGGGCAGGGTTCACCCACAAGACAGGGTCCCAGGGATTCCCCTCTCGTATATAGGACAAACTTGCACCAGGCGGCACGGGGGCAGGCACGGGCCTCCTACTGGTTGCGCTCTCCTAGTTCTCCTGCTCCTGACAAGGGAATGCGACAGGCTCGCAGCGCGGTGCTCGGTGGACTCCCTACTCCACTGGCGGTCTCATCTCCATCTGGCGACCTTCCTCCAGTTTCTCACTGGCAGGTCTCTCGCAACCACAGGCACACTGACAGGGGTGGCAGGGGCGGCGGCAGGAGTCTCCCACATACTATGTGGGCTTCGCTAGAGGTGCGTCCTGTGTGTGTCCTTCGTCCTTGAGGTCTTGAGGGGGAAGGGGAAGGGCTGTGTGTCTGTGCATGCATGTGTGTGTGCGTGCGTGCGTGCGTGTGTGTGTGTGTGTGTGTGTGAGAGAGAGAGAGAGAGATTTTTAGCAATACCAAACAACTCTAACACTCACACGTCATTTGGGGCCTGGATGGGTTTTGTTTGTGTGAGAGAGATTTTTGAAGACCAACCAGAAATCACGACAGCTTTCTTCTTTGTGTGCGCGCCAGCCCGCGCCCTTGTCGTGCCAGTGTGCTGTGAGAGAGGCTTGTATTTTAAGAATTCTTTGTGTGTGTGTGTGTTGTGTGTGTGTGTGTCGGTGTGTGTGCGTGCGTGTGCGTGTGCGGGCGCTGTGCGACCCGCCCTGAACGAGCATAATGGCGAGCGCGCCCGAGCACCGAAGCGCCGCGAGCGCCGGCGAGCACCGCCGCCCGCGCCTTCAAAGAAAGAAAGAAAGAAAGCAGACAGCCCAAGGGAGTCAGGCGCCGCCCGTTCGACCCTGTCCTCCTTTATTTTTTGAGAGCGCCTTCGTTGTTAATAGATAGGTTATTTTTTCGCCGTCTCGACAGCGTTTTGCCTCCGGCGTCTTTGCCTTTTGCTACGCCCTAAGCGGCAATATGCCCTCGATCAAGGATCTGGGGAAGCGGCTCAAGTCGGTCTCGTCCACCTCGAAGATCACCAAGGCGATGAAGATGGTCGCCGCGTCTAAGCTGCGTAAAGCCGAGTCGGAGATGATTGCCGCGCGCCCGTTTGCAGCTTCTGTGCAAAACCTCATGATGCCGCACATCGGCATCAAGGAGGGGGAGGAGGCGCCCGCTTCGGTGATGAAGCTCGCCATCTCCTCCGACAAGGGCCTCTGCGGCGGCATCAACTCCAAAATCTGCAAGGAGGTCAAGTTGGCGGTGGACGCGCTCGTCCAGCGGGGTGCCGAGTCGTCGCCGCAGGCAGCCCCCCCCCCCCCCCCTCCCCCCTCGTCCGCGCCAGCCCCCGCGCCCGCCCCGAGCCTGCCACGACCGCGGCGCCCTCCCCTCCGGCCGTTCCACACGCACACCTCCTATCCCTCACCCGCCCCCGCCCGCGTCCCCGCGCACAGCTGCTTATCGTCGGCAGCAAGGGGCGGGACGGGATGGCGCGCACGCACAGCGAGTACTACAAGACGACGTTCGACGAGGCGTACGGCGGCGCGATCACCTTCTCCCTCGCCTCCTTCCTCGCCGAGCAGATGCTCGCCTCGACCGCCGAGTCGTGCGCCCCCCCCCTCCCCCCCCTCCCCCCCACCGCACCCGCACCCGCACCCGAACGCTCGCCACAGCCCGCGCCCGCCCGCCGCCCCGATCGCTCCAAGCCCCCCCCCCCTTCCCCCTCCTCCGCGGACAGCTACACCATCTGGTACAACAAGTTCCGCTCCGTCATCAACTTCGAGCCGACCCCCCTCACCATCAAGGGGCCCGAGGTGCTCGGCGCCTCGGGCGTGTTCGACGAGTTCGAGTTCGAGGGAGAGAAGGAGACGGTGCTCGCCGACATCTACCAGTTCAACCTCGCCTGCACCATCTACGGCTGCCTCCTCGAGAACAAGACCTCGGAGGAGGCCTCGCGCATGACGGCCATGGACTCGGCCTCCACCAACGCGGCCGACATGATAGCGCGCCTCACGCTCATCTACAACCGGATGAGACAGGCAAAGGTGACCACCGAGCTCACCGAGATTGTCGCAGGCGCCGAGGCGGTCTAGGCTGAAAGAGCGGAGCCCACACCCCCTTGGCCTAGCCCACACCATATATCCGATCGGGCCCAAGACACACCAAATATGTGACACATGCTGTTGTGGGTCCCGTCTGTCTTTTACGTGCGTGTCTAATTTTTCTCACTAGTGTCGCCCGACTCCCTTGCCACGCGGCGGTCTCTCTCCGCGCCCACAGCGAGCAGCGAAAGCCACTCTCTGCCCTGCGCCCAGAGGGTCGCGAGAGAGCCGAGACGCGACACGCGAGGTCCGACTCCGAGGAGACGAGAGGACGTGTCGCGAGCACGGTGCTCGGTGGAGACTGGAGGTGGAGAGTGGAGTCGCGGCGGACGGCGGTCGGCGCGCTCGCCGCTCGGCCTCAACACGTCGATCGCTCGCAATTGAGACACGTCACACCCACACCCACCAGCACACACACAAGGGCGATCGGCCTTGCTTGGGCCTCCGCAGTGACCAAGTGTGAAGGGACGAGTGAGATGGAGTGGCGTGGTTCGATGGCGTGGTGAGTGCGAGAGCGAGGCGCAGACTAGAGTGGAGAGGCGCGCGAGAGGAGTCGCTCACATGGGGCAGGAGCATGGCGCGGGCAGCGACGAGTGGAGCGAGAGGGGGAGGGAGAGAGAGGATAGGTTGTATGCAGGCATCTTATACGTACAGGTACAGTACTGGGACGTAGGATAAATAGGCACTCCAACACGCGTACCAGCAGCTCTGAACTCAACCGGCCGTCCGTGTACCGCAATAACTATCAACAACCGAGCGGCAGCCTCTCTCAACTGCGCCGCTCCTCACGCCGCTGCCACCGCGCCGCCAACGGTCTGGTGCACAATCTCGCGCGTGCCGTGCATCTTGCCCATCCCCTCCTGCGTCGCGTGGCCGTGCGAGCCCAGGTTGATCTGCGAGATGCCGTCCGTGCCGAGCCCGTCGATGCCCTTGATGTTGGTCGTCCGGTCGATGTTCTTCGACGTGTCAAACGTGCCCGCCTGCGAGGCGTGCCCGTGCGAGCCCATGCCGACCGCGGTCGTGGTGCCGTCGCCGCCGAGCCCGTCGATGCCCTTCACGTGGTCGACCTTGCTGATGTTCTTCGACGTGTCGAAGGTGCCCGCCTGCGAGGCGTGGCCGTGCGAGCCCATCCCCACCGCCGTCACGCTGGCGTCGGTCCCCAGGCCGCCGATGCCCTTCACGTGGTCCACCTTGCCGATGTTGCGGCTGGTGTCGAAGGTGCCCGCCTGCGACGCGTGCCCGTGCGAGCCCATCCCCACTGCCGTCACGCTGGCGTCGGTCCCCAGGCCGTCGATGCCGCGGACCTTGTCCATCTTGCCGATGTTGCGGCTGGTGTCGACGGTGCCGGCCTGCGAGGCGTTGCCGTGCGATCCCTTGCCGAGGAAGGTCTGCTCCGCCCGGCCCTTGCGCAGCGTCTCCTCGTCAAAGTGCCGCACCGACTTGTCCGCAAGCTTCGCCCCGAGGGTCGGGCCGCCGTAGCCGGGCACCTTGCCGCTGACGCGGCCGAGCGAGTGGATGTTTGTGATGACGGCCATCATGTCCTGGTTCTCGTAGAGCGAGACGGTCTGGAAGAGGTCGTGCTTCGGGACGCCCAGCGCGCTGCACGCCTCGAGGTACTTGGCGATGTTCTCCATCTGCTGGAACGCCATCTTCATTGTCGACGGCTTCTTGCAGACGCCGGGCTTGAGCGCGTTGACGAGGGCGCAGAGGACGACGCCCGACTTGAGCGCCTCCTGGAGCGTGCCCTCGAGCGCCTCGCCCGTCACCGCCTCGATCCACTCCCGCGCCTCGCGCTCCATCTTCGGGTCAAACTTGGCCGCCGCCTTGTCGGCGAGCTCTTTGTCCATGCCGTAGAGCGGGATGCCGTCCTCGCGCTTCGCGGCGCCGTCGTAGCCGGCGTGCACCGCGTTGCTGACCGGCTTGGTGGGCACGCGCGTCGACATGAAGTGGTGGTCCGTCATTGTTGAGGGTTCGACTGAGTAGGCAAGGAGAGTTGGAGTATTTCACAGTATTTCCAGTATCCCAGTATCCGAGGTGCTGTGGCGCAATATTCCAGTATTACAGACACGCAAAGCAAGTATTTTTATTGCAATACTGCATGCTGCCTGCACACGGCCCTTGGCCAAGTATCCCAATATCCCGCAAGCGAAGGTCAAGTATCGGTGGCGCAAATACCTCTCTGCCGCGAGGGTGATACTGCAATACTGGGCCTGGGGCATGCAGATATTGTGTTACTGAAGTAGTGTGGCCATGGCAGTATCGCGCAGTATTTTCACCGCAATACTCGGAGCCGGCGCATCGGATACTGGGATACTGCAGGCTACTGCGGGATACTGCTGGATACTGCTGGATACTGGCAATTCATGGAAGTGTGCCCGTGTGTAAGCCATGGTCCAGCAGCCAGCTGCATCCCCATCCTTCTCACTGGTAGTTGTCACCATGCAGCTGCACCCCTCCCTAGAGCATCCCCGGCTGATGTGGTCACCGGATACTGGGATACTGGGATACTGCGGACCGGCTTGGGCCACAAATGTCGCAAGTGGGCTGTGGTGATGGCAGGCGTTATGTGATTGTTCCAGAATGCATCGGCAGGAATTGCGATGTGTGGAAGCTCACGAGTTCTCCGACCGCAGCTCGACAGTCCGTAAAGAGCTCGTATCCGCTGCATTTCTGCCGCCGAGCTGAACAGCGGCGGTGAAGCACGGCCGGCTGTGTCAGGACCGCGCCCGGCGCTGGAGAGTGCTCGAGAGCATCCGACATCGTCGGCCGCAGCGGCAGGGTCGGCCGAGGTGATTCGTTCTATGTGCAGGTCCGTCACCCGTTTGCCGTGATGCTCAGCGGCGGCGCCCACACCGGTGGGTTCACTCGAGACGGTCCGGCGCCAAGCAAAGAGGAGCGTCGGTTACCAGAGCCTGCTGTGTGGCGGTTTGCGGCCGATTGGGGTCGTGCGGGGCTGGTTGGGGTTGGCGGGAGGAGACACGAACTTCCGCGACATGACGCTCGAACTTTTCGACCGTTCGACACCCTGGGGTCACAGCACTTGCGAGAGGCGCCGCTACGCCCGGCCGCCTGAGATGCCAAAGTTTGCACACGCCATTCAAGCGCTGCAGGCATTGCGAGCACGCTGGTGCTCCTGCGTGCCGGCACCAAGCTTCAATTGCCGAGGCTGACACTGCATCCCAACGTGATATTGCATCGGTGCGCTTGTGGGAGCTGACGCGCCCAGCCAATCCAGCGCCCCTAGCCATCGAGATAGCTCTGGGACCCTTTCACGGCACAGCTGCTTTGTGATCTACTATGATTCCTGTGCGTGCGCCGCAGGACGTGACCACCTTGCTGCGCTCAATGTTCGCGGCCGTGACGCCTCCCCGATGTGAGTCTTCCTCCCCACACCACAGCACCAGCACCAGTGCACTGCCACGACACTCTCCCTCAGTTCCAGCACTGGCGCCTCAGCCGTCTTCGCCCATCTCGTGCCGTTGCCGCCTTCCCCACCCCGCCAGCCCTTGCACACGCGTTTACACCATTGCGCCGGCAGGGCGCGGGCACACACTTTACGGCAGTCTTCGCTTGCCCACGCTGCTCAATTGGCTCAACCCCTCCCCACCTAGCTGCTGCCTCGCATCCCGCTGCCGGACGTACGACTGCGGCCGCAGCGCAATGCATCGCTCGAGGGCCGAACCCGGATACTGGGATACTGCAGGATACTGCAGGATACTGCGGGATACTGCTGGATACTGGCCGTCTCTGATGCGGATACTGGGATATTCGGCGGGGCTGGAGGACCAAGTAGCGCCCAGTATTGCAGTATTATTACTTGGCATTTAGCTCTGCGATATTGGGATACTTCGCCGGCGTGGATCGATTACTGTGATACTCACCGGGTGCGTCATCACGAGTATCGAAGTATCCGCGGTACCAGCTCGGAGTATTGAAGTATTATTACTGCGCCATATCTCACAGGGGACTCTTTTACAGTATCCCAGTATTTGAGGCCTGCTGCGAAGTATCCCAGTATCTGGTCCGGCTCCGCGAAGTAGAAGTAAGAAAATACTCCAACTCTCCTTGCCTACTGAGAGTGCGAGTTGTGGACGTGCGAGTTTTGAGCTTCCTTGCCCTTGATCACGTGGACTGCGCGCGGCGGAGCCTGCCGAGATCCGGGCCGATGCTTGGGACCATGGTACACACCTACATGCTACAAAGGCTGCCCAAAACTTCACTCTTCACACTTCAACATCAAACAACAAAACAAATGAGTGTTAGAGAACGGTATTACTAAATGGAATGTACGTAAGAGCCACATACATTGAAAATCTCTCTCTCTCTCAACATCCCAAACAATACAAAAGTTTAGCCTCACTCACCAGCAACTAGCCTGAATCGTAGGCGCCCTCGTTCCCCTCCCCGGGCGCGCGTTGCGATAATGCCCAGCGTTGTGCGCAACAACCATCCTTTTTGCCGCACAGTTGCGCTCCGATCTCGTATTTGTGCCCCACCGATGGCAGCCGTGCCAAAATCGCACGGCGCCGGTCCGCCTCCGGCATGGAGAGCCCAGCTTTCCTCGCAGTGCTGCCCCGCGGCGGGGTCGCGTTGCGCGCGCACTGCAGCACGTCGAAAGGCCAGCTAAGCGCGCGGTGGGTCACCCAATCGGCGGTGTACAGCTTCGGGACCTTGCGTGTCAGATGCAGCAGGCAGGCGTCGCGCACCGCCACTCGACGGCGTGCGGCAGCTTCGCGATGGGAATCTCCAGCGGTGCCGGACGTGGTGACGGCTCGGGTCAGCTCGCTGCCCACGTAATTGAAGTCACCTCCTAGGTCGTGCAAAGTCATGCCCGCTGTGCGATGGAGCAAGGCGTTGAGGTAGAGCTGGTCGCACAGCACGCGGCACACAAGCTTCTCGCCGCGCCAGCGCGCGAGATGTGGCAAGTGCGCGTCGCGCGAGAGCACCATGACGCCAGAGTTGAAGATGAGCTGATTGCCACCTCCGGAGCACCACACGGCATTGTTTGGGCTGTGATAGAGGTCGCAAGCCGCACGCCGGTGAAGTGCGTGCCAGCCCGCCGGCTTGTGCCGTTCGAGGGTGGCGCCCAGCGAATGGCAAGGCGTCAGCGCAAACAGGCTTGCAGCGGCAGGTCCAATCAGCACATCGTCGTCCACATACATGACACGCTCGTACCGTCTCAGGAAGTGCTCGAGCAGCGGCAGCTTGCGGAAGCGAGTCGACAGATTCTTTGGTATGCCTTGCATGGCGTCGTGCGCGTACGAGTCCACGCTGTGGAAGGAGACGCCGATGGACTTTGCGTAAGCCTCCATGAGAGGCTTGGTGTACTGGACAAACGGACGCGAGCCAAGCGAGAGCGTCACGAGCGCGACGCTCGCAACGCCCGAGCTCGGGCAGGACATCGAGCGAGCGCTGCGATACACAAGCAATGTCCAGCGGCACGGCGCGCTCAAGAAACGGCCCCGCGGCGTCGCCCGGCTGTGCGGAACTGCTGTGCCAAGCGCCCGCCGAAAGAAAGTGGAGTAGCCGAGCTCTCCCATCCCTCCTCCCATCCCTCCCTTGGGTTGTCTGTTTTCTTTCTTTACTCTCCCATCCCTCCCTTGGGTTGTCTGTTTTCTTTCTTTCTTTACTCTCTCACATGACAAGCGATCCCACGACAGCGAGTGTGGGGACTACATGATCCGTACGTGAAGGGTGGTAGGCGGCGCGGGCACCCCCCACTGGGGCCGAGGACAAGAGGCTGCCTTTGCCGCTTGCTTGTTCTTGGTCCAGTTGGTGCGCATCTTGCGCGCCTGCTTGTTGATGTTTTCGGCGTCGCCCGCCACCGCCGCCATGGAGATCTGCTGCGTGTGGTGGACGACAAAGGAGGAGGGCAGGAGGCGCTCGGCGCTCGCCGACGCCGCCCCACCGTCCGGTCCGTGTGTTGGTGCCCACCGCTTCCTTGGCGAACAAACACGTGGAGGAACTGCTTGCAGCTTGGTGGGCGGCGCAATGCCACCAACGTTTCCACGTACCACGAGAAGAAAGAAGGGGTGAACACCGTTAAGTTTTTGTTCTTTTATTCGTGTGTTCCGAGTGCGGCCCGTCGAGCGTCGTCATGCTAGGACGTGTGTAACACTGACTGACTGTCTTTGTTCGTGCAAAAAGAAAAGAAAGAAAACAGACCACCCAAGGGAGGGATGGGAGGACGGTCGTGCCAGTGCGGGCGCAGAGTAAAGTAGGCCGAATAATTCTTTATCGGTAAAATTCTTTATCGGGAGCGTTGCATGCCGTCGTTTGGCGCCATCAAGCTGCTTCAGAAGCGAACTGGTGCCACCCGCGACGCGTGCCGAGCTGCTCTTGAGAGAGCGCTCGACGACGAGGACAAAGCCGCGGCCATCATCGTTGCAGAGGGAGGAACCGACCTCCATGCTGCTGCGGCAGGCCCAAGCGCGGAGGCTGCGCCCTGCGCGCCCACTCCCTCGGTTCCGCAGGGTGTGACGGTGCTTCGGCTCGAGGTGGGCGACGGCATCACCTTCCCGCAGACGGGAGATCGTGTGTCGATACACTACAAAGGAATTCTGGTGGACAACGGCCTTGAATTCGATTCCTCGTACGGCCGCGGCGCTGAGTTCAGCTTCACGCTCGGCAAGGGCGACGTCATCGCCGGTTGGGAGCAGGGCCTGCCGATGCTCTCCCTCGGAGAGAAAGCGGTGCTCACCATCTCGCCCGACCTCGCCTATGGTGCCGCCGGCGCCGGAGATCGGGTTCCACCGCACGCGGCCCTCCGCTTTGAGGTTTGGCTGAAGGACATCCGGCGCGGCCCATCGGCTGCCCCGGGCGGCGGTTCGCGAGACCAGTACAAACAGGCGGCCCAAATGATGCTGGGCGGGAAGGCCCCGCCTCCTTCGGACGTCGACCGTCGCCGAGCTGAGGCGGGGTACTACTCACTCGGCAGGGCCTAGCCCTAGGCCCTAGCGCTCGAGAGCGAAATCCGAAAAGACCGGCGTGAGTGTGCCAGTATTGCAATACCTATAAAACTCTGAATGCGAATGTGCACGTCAATTGTCGTTGCTTACAAGCTGCGAATATTCTTCCTAAAGCCGAGATGCAAGTAGCAAGAGGGCCCCGCGACGAGAAGCGAGATGGTTGTGCCCGCGAGACCCCGCGAGACGCTCCAGTCCGGTGCGCAACCTCGACCACACAGACGGTATTAGCTATTGTTGCAATCACCCCGCGGATGCAGCCCTAGATAGGCTCAACCCTCGGCTGCCCCGCGCGGCGCGCGGTACAGCATGGTCGGCTCCCCCTTGCTATTTGGGATCGAGACGCCCTCGATGAGGCTCCCGTCAAGCGCGTTGCGGATCATCTGGTAGTTTCCGATGCTCACCTTGCCGTCGAGGGGCTTGCCTGCAACCGAAGGGCACGAGAGGCGTGAGAGAGCTTCGCCGCGGACCGCCGGCCCACAGAGCCGCCCTCGCCCTCGTCCTCCTCGCCCTCCTTGCGCGCGTCGATCTCGTCGATGCCCATCCAGCGCGCGTCCTGCAGCTCGCCTTCGCAGAACGAGATCCCGTCCCGGCCGGCGGGTGCTCGCAGCCGCACCTACTCTCACCAGCGCCGTCTGAGACACGCCCTCCTCCTGCGCCGGGCGGCGCCACCGCCGCAGTCCACGCACGATAACGTACACGTCGGACTGCCCGAAGCGGCGGCCGTGCGAGTGGCGCAAGCTGACGACGCCGTCGAGCTCCGCCCGCACGCCCGTCTCCTCGGCAACCTCGCGCGCCACGGTCGCCGCAAAGTCCTCCCCTGGCTCGGCGAGCCCGCCCGGCAGCTTCCACGACCTGCGCACAGGCGCCGAGAAGGCTGTGGCGATGGCTCCTCCGCCCCGCCGCGTCTCACGGCGGGCTGTGCGTCTGTGCACCCCTGCATGCGCTTGCTCGGCGAGACCCGCTCCTGCACCATCAGCACCTCGCGCTTGCCGTTGACGACCACGCCGCCCACCCCGACCGACGTGAAGGCGTACCGCGGTAGTGGGCTCGGCGTGGGAGGCAGCCAGCGCGTCAGCTGCAGGTAGCCGGCCGTGGCGTGGTGGTACTCGAAGCCGGCCGCCACCGCGGCGTCGACGTACGCGTGCGCCTCAGCGGGCAGCCTGAGCCACACGCCGCGCTTGCCCGCGCCCTCCCACGCCTGCAGCGCGCTGTGCAGCTCTTCGACGAAGCCGCTCACCTGCCACGAGCCGTCACTGGCCGTGTCGTGGACCTGTCGTGGACGTGTCGTGGACGTGCCCCCGCTGTGCAGCTCCTCGACAAGCCGCTCACCTGCCACGGAGCCCCCGGCCGCACCTCCGCCTCGACGCCGCCGTGCCGGTCCTCCGTCGCCTCGAGCAGCGGCGCGCCCTTCTCCGCCTCCGGAGCGCCGCCCGCCTCGCGCGCCGCCGCCGCCTCGGCGACGCACTCGGCGAGGAGGTCGAGGGCGGCGGCCGAGAAGGCCCACCTGCTCACAGCAGGCCGCCGTGGAGGCGAGAGAGGAGATAGGGGCGGCGGCAGGGAGGCCACCCACATGTTGTCTTCACGCCGCGCGTGCGTCGAGCGGACGAGGATGCCGCGCTCGACCGGGCCGGAGACCCAAATGGCACTGAAGCCCGCCTCGAGGTCGGCATAGTTGAAGGTTGGCCCGCAGGCGCCATTCTCGCACACGCACCACGTCGATCCCGTCTCGAGCCGCTTCCGCCGCGCCAGCGCGACCACCCTCTCCTGCTTGCTCGCCACGTACTCGGCCGCGTTCTGAGGCCGGCACCGGTGGCCGTGCCTGTCGAGCGGCTCGCCAAGTGGCCTCGCGTTGGGACCAAGGACGCCTGCGGTCGGGCGTGGAAGACGGTCCGAGCGGAGCAGCAGTTTCGTGTGGTGCTGCTGAGTGCACCGACGGCGCGGGACGCGGTGTAGGTGACGGCGCCGCAGGTGGTGAAGGCGGAGGCGCCGGGCGACGCGAGGAGCGACGCTTGGATCAGCCCGCCCGTCGTGCTCTCAAAGCAGGAGACACGCTCTCCGGGGCTGGCACGGAGGCTTGCTGCGGCGCGCTCCGCCATCTTTTCCAGCGAGGCGGCGTGCTGCGTCGCGGGCAGCTCGACCTGGCGCCAGAGGGCGGCCGCCGACGCGGTGACGGCGGGAGTGAGGAAGCGGATCATGTATGTGCGCTCGAGATTGGCAGCACGTGGACGGCGAACACGTGGACGGCGAAGCACGGAGCCACAGCAACACAACAGCCTGAGCCGACGCGACGCTAGAATTCTTTCCCTCTTGAGGGAGAGAGCGAATCGCGCCTGGGGAGTACAGACCACGCCTGCTATTCACAGCACAAGCCCTCGCCAGGCCTCGAGCATGGAGGGCTCGAGCATGGACCCCGGTAAAAGTGAGGTGTGGACTCGCCAGGAATCGCAAGCTCATCAGGCGAGCTGGGAACCTACCGCAGCGGCGTGGCGTGGAGCGGTTGTGCATCCCTCCGGGGCCCCTCTGCGCCGGGGAGGCTTGGAGGCTAGGACGCAAGCGTCCCAGTCATGATGGTCGCGGTGTTCCGCTGCGCCACCTCCAATCCGCTCCACATGCCTGCTGAGGGCCTCTGGTGCGCTCCGGGCTTCCGCCTCGACGCCGAGCCGCCTGCGACGCGGCTCATCGAGGACAGCGCGGCCGCGTCGCTCGGCGCGTTCCGCATTCGCTCGCTGCTGTCGCGCCGAGAGGCTGAGGGCTTCGTGCGTGCGGCGGACGCGATGGGCTTCACTCGGAGCGCCTCCGACTCAGACACCGAGAGGCGCAACGGCGCTCTGTCTTGGGCGCTGCACGACCCCTTGCGGGAGGCCCTCTCGGCGCGGATCGCCCCTTTTGTGCCGCGCGCGATCTGCTCCCACAGCGGAGAGGCGGCGCCCGAGCGGCGGGCCGAGATGCTGCGAGCCGAGGCTGCTCGGCGGGCGCTGCTCGGCGGCGGCGGCTCGGCGGGCGGGGGAGGGGAGCCGTGGGTGCGACGGTGCGACGGTGCGCCCGAGGGAACTTATCGGTACGAGGGGCTGAACGCGCGCTGCCGCGTGTACCGGTACGAGCCCGGCGGATCGGACCGCTTCGCGCCCCACTTCGACGAGTGCTGGCCCGGCTCTACCTTGGCACTGAAGGGCACGGGCGGCGGGGAGGAGGCGACCCTCGTCTACGACGGCTGGACGTATGGCGCCGACGCGACGGCCACGTGGCAGTGGGGACCGCGGGACCGCGTCAGTCACCTGTCCGTCCTCGTCTACCTCAACGACGGCTTCCCCGGCGGAGAGACCGCACTGCTGCAGGAGGATGGGGGCGGCGGCGGCTCCGTGTGCGTCGCTCCGTCAGCGGGCGATGCTCTTTGCTTCGGCCAGTCGTTTGCCCTCGGCAGGCCCGGCGTCTGCCCGTCAGAGCGCGCGCTGCTGCATGAGGGCAGGCCGGTCGCCGCGGCCCCACCCAGAGCCTACGCAACGACTCGGGCGCCGACGCGGCGGGAGCGGCGCAGGAGCGGCCGACGCGGCGGGGTGCGAGCGGCCGATGCACCGCCGCCCCCGGCGAAGATAGTCATGCGCTCAGATCTCCTGTACTGGATCCCTCCGCCAGAGTCGTGACCCTGCGTTGAGCGGTACGTAATCGTAAAGGAAGCGCTGGGAAATTGTTCGAGCTTGAGCCCCACAAAAAAAAACAGCCGGCGCAAACAAGCAAAGTGCAAACAACCCGAGGAGGGCGGCGACCTCAACCGACTACGGTCTACGGCTCTATGGAGGACCCCGCGCGCCGCGCCCCGCACGCGCCCGAGACGACGCGCAGGGCAGACGAGAGACGACGGGGGAGAGTTGGAGCAGACGCGCAGGGCGAGACGAGGGAGGGAGCAGGTGATGTTGCGGAGATCAGCAGGAGGATGTACGAAGAGATTAGGAGCAGCAGGGACCCGAGCGCCGAGGGACCATGTGGAAGACGGCTAGCGCTAGTCCGACTTGTAGTCCCCCGTCGGGAGGACGACCCCCCGGCTACTCGCCGACCACACCCACAAAGAACCCTGTGCGGACAAAGATCGCAAGGGCGGCGTAGCGTGCATCGGCCGGCAGCGAGAGCGCGGCCATCACGTCGATGAGGGGGGGTTGTCGGCGACTCATGTGGCGGGCTGGCGGCTCGAGGCCTACGCTGCGCGCAATTCCGATCCCGCCGCGCTCGCGGGAGGTGGCGCGTATATATTCATACGCCCTTTTTCTCCTCAACGGCTATCCGTGCTCTTGCTGTGCCCGTGTGTGTTTCAAGTTCTTAGATATCACAACCCGAGGATGATGAAGGTAAAAACGGGAATGTACGTAAGAGCTACATACTCAAAAAGATCGACGCGTTGCGCCTTACCGATCCGCACCTACCTATCCGCTAACAACGAACCGTACACTTACTCGAGTAGGCTCTTGGGTGGCGCGCCCGCAAGACTTCACACAACGGAGCTGCACCTTTTTTTGTCGTTTAGCAAACAATGATAGAATGCGCTCAGCTTGCTCCTGCCGGAACGGGAACGATGTTTGTCTCGCTCGCCTTGGCCTGGGCAAGCAACACAAGCGTTTCGCATTCACACTTCCACGTTGACCCATCGGCAACCTGCTTTTTGATGAGTGTGCGCGATCCAGCCGATCGTGTCACATCCGGCTTCAGGTACGAACTCATGAACCCTCGCAACGGCCGGCCACGCTTGACCAAGTTTGGAAACGCGTCCCACTTTGTCACCAATCTGCGCATCCGCACCCCAGCCGCTCTGGCTCTCGTTGAAAAGTCCAAGCGCAAGATTAACCCCGGCGACGACGGAAGCTTTTTCTTGACACTCCAATCTTTTTACCTGCAGCGAGCAGGGAACAGGTCTGTGTTTTTTCTTTGCAACACTGCTCCGGAGGGCCGGTTCGCATCTGAGCTTGCGCTTTGGACTAGGAACTCTAGTCTGGCGGGTCTTTCTGAAGGCGCACCTCACCGGCGGTGGAACTCGGCAAGCGCCGAAGTTCGTGCCCGGAGCTATCTCTCAGCCTCCGACCGCCGCTACCTCCGCACCATCTTCGCAAAAGATGTCCTCCTCTTGAAGACCCACTGCGGAAATTGAGGTGAATCAAAAAATGCCATGGTATGTGGCCCTAATATAGTCATGCAGATCATTTTTCGAGGCGGTCGCTGAGAAAGTGCCACGCCTGGAAGACAGCCACGACGGCCGCCACGCCCGTGCACGTGTACTTGCAGACGTTGGCAGCACGGAAGGCGGCAAATGTCGCCTCGTTTGGCACGTGATCGACCATTTAAAGCGCGATGCTCGTCTCGACTAGGTCAAAGACGCCCGTCAAAACGAGGGCGTTATTATGAGTCCGGAGGCCGAACTTGCTGTACATATTAGAATGTAGAGGAAGTCCAGCCCGTAGAGGAGCTTACCTCGCCGCCGCGGAGGGGCGCGCAAAAACTCGTCCCGCGTCTCAAGCAGCTGCATCTTCCAAAAGGGTCGGTCTTCCTCACCAAGACAGATGAGCGCAATGAGCACACACACACACCCCACAAACAGGGCAACGGTGACTCGGTCTAGCTTCGCCATTCAGCAGCGGGAATGTTACTTGTAAGACAGAAAAACCCCAAATCTGGTTCCACCAGGTGCACTAGGTCAGTTTGAAACAAATGAAATGCGAGGGCAAGACACACATTTCTTTTCCTTAGAGGTAACTATTTCAGATGACCTTCACCTAGCAGTTCGCGGGGGGAGCCCGCAAAAATATATTGTCAATGAGGCTGAGGCAGACATCAACCGTGGCAGAGCTGTGGTGTTTGTGAATATCTCGGCCGACCTTCGATGCTGGCGATCGGGGGGCTTGCCCCCCCTGGCAGAGAGGACAAAAACGGACACAAGGCCAAAAAAGGCTGTTCGAGCCAAAACAAAGCGACTTGCGTAAAGAGGAAATGGGGGAGGAGCACTGGGGGAGGCATCCTTCGTTGGCGCGTCGGGTGTCTCTCCATCGCCACTTTGCTCCTGCGTCTAGCCCGCGTCCGTACAATTGCGACCACCCTTTTCCGTCAGAGCTCTAACTCCAAGTTTGCTTGTGCTTTCTTGCACTTTTGGTACTTTTTTTGCTAAAAAAAGAAATGTTATTAGTTATTAGTTCAGAGGTGGCATTGGAACCCTGCGCGAGTGAATTTGTATAGGTTGAGGTTGAGGAAGCTGAGCTTGTAGAGGTTGAGGTTGAGGAGGTTGACGGGTCTCGACAGGAAAGGACTTGACGGGGGGAGGAGCAGGAGGAGCAGGAGGAGCAGGAGGGTTGAAGTGCTGAGGAGAGGTTTGCGGAGAAGGGTGTGAGGTATGCGTGCTTTCAATCACTTCCTCGGTTTTGTCACTGTCAGATGAGGAGTTGTCATCAGAGTTGTCAGAGTCATGACGGACTGGTCACCGGTTTCGGACTCATCCGAATCTGACCCAGAGTCTTGGCTGTCTGGACCTGAGGCGTCATCAGATTCTTCCACATTTTCCTCTGCAACGAAGTTCATTTCACTCCCTGATTTTTTACTTGACTGGTTTGGATCTGCTTTCTCGCTCGGTGATCCGCGCGCCGCCCCCGGCCGCCGGCCGCGGACACCACCACTGATTTTTTGTGCGAGAGAAATAGTTTTTTACTTCTGGGAGTGGGATCGCAGCGCGACGGCGTGGAGGACCGTAGTGCGGTCTGCGATGAGACCGAGGGGCCAGTTGACTGTGTGCGGGGTGTCCGGTGAGCTCTGCGCTGCATCTCTCTTCCGTGGGCGGAGAGATCAGGGCGCCTGCTGCTCGGCGGCAGCCCTCTCTCGCGCGAGAGCGGCGCGCCTCCTCCGCTCCCGCTCGCCCCGCTCCTCCGAGGCGCGGTGCTGCGCCTGCCGCTCCGCCTCGCGTCGCGCCTCGGCGTCGGCGTCCTCGCCCGGTCGCGCGGTCCGGCCGAGCAGCGCCCGGCCCTTGCGCTTCAGGCTCTCGCGTATCACGACCGCCTTGGCGCGCGGCGCGACCACCGCCGCAGGGTCGACTTGAATGACGATCCCTTCGACCACCTTGCGGGGGGGAGGGGTGGGAGGGGAGGGGCGGGGGGGGCGTGATGCCTCGCGCCGGCCATGACGACGACCAGACCAGCCCCGCAAGAGCAAGTCCGTTGTCCGGCACTGCGACGAGGCGAGCCGTGCCGCTCCCTCCCCCGACTCGCCCGCCCGCGCGCACCTTGACGGAGAGGGCGATCGAGATGAAGCCCGCGTGCACTCGCACGCGGTGGTCGCACGCCTTCGGCACGGCCAGGCACGGTCAGGCCGCCCGGCAGGCGCCGCCTCCCGCTCTCGCGTGTGTGTGTCGCGCGCCGCATTGCAAATCATCGAGATCGAAGTGCCGACCTGCAGAAGGCGGGGGTTGGAGGTGAGGGTGGGGGGGTGAGGGGTTCAACGCGAGGGCGGGGGCGAGGGCAGGGGTGTGCCCACCTGGTCAAAGAAGGTTGGCGTGTCGCGCGCGAAGTTGACCATCTCGCCGATCTTTGTGCAGAAGCCGTGGGCGTCCGAGACGTCCGACTGCGCCGCCGTCTGCTCGATCATGAGCGCGCCGCCCTCGTACCCCTCGTAGTTGAGGAAGTGGCCTGCGCGGGCCGCAGCGCGCCTCGGGTGGGCCTCGGCGGCGGGAGGGCTTTGGTGGCGGCGGGAGGGCGGGAGAGTCGGTGGCAGGGGGGGGGGGAGCCGGTGGGAGGGCGGGAGAGGGGGGGAGGGAGGGAGGGGGGGGGGGGGGGGGGGGACGGGCCGAGGATGTCGATCAGCATGCCGTGGTCAAACTCCGAGTACGAGACGACGATGCCCGCGTCGAGGAAGGCGAGTCGCGGCGAGCCGTCTGCTGTGGTTGTGACGAGCACGTTGCCTGGGTGGAGGTCGCCGTGGACAAAGTTGTGCACCTGAGCGCGAGCGCGGGGCAGTGTGGGAAGGAAGCGGGCGCGGCGGCGGCGGCGAAACGCGGCGCGGAGGGCGGGGCGCACAAAGAGCATCTCGCAAAAGGCGTCGATGCCCGTGTTGCAGAGCTGCTGCCGCTCCTCTGCCGTCTCTGCCAGCCCCGCCGCCCACTCGATCATCGGGACGCCGTCGACCCACGACTCGACGAGGACGGCCCTCGCCTGATCTCGGGTGATCTCGGGTGATCTCGGCCTACCCTCCCGGTACGACTCGACGAGGATCGGCCGGTTGCCTAGTCAGCCCTCCCCCGAGGTGCAGCCGAGACATGGCGCATCGATGTCACCACTCGACAGAGGGAGGCCGCGCCTGAAGGGAGAGAGGCTGATACCCGCCTCCGAGGTGCAGCCGAGGTGCAGCCGTGGTGCAGCCGAGATATAGCCGAGATAAAGCCGAGACATGGCCGAGATATGGCCGAGATATGGCCCCGCGCCTATGGGAAAGCCTCAGGCTCCGGCCCGCCTCCGACCTCGCCTCGCACGACACGACAGAGAGCGGGCCGCGCCACGTACCCGCCGACCGGATCCGGGAAGTCGACCGGCGGGGCACCGCCCCCCGCGCGCGCGAAGTTGGCGCGGAAGCGGCGCAAGTTGTCCGCCTCGCTCCTAGAGGCGCTCGCGTCGGGACGGGGTGTGGCGGGCAGGTGTGCTCCTGCGAGCGGGGCGAATCGGCTTTCTTCTTGCGCCGCAAGTCGAGCTGGCGGAGGAGCATCTCTGTGAACTCCTCGCTCATCCCGCCTGGCTCGCCAACCCACCCGAGATCTGGCCGAGATCTCGCGCATACGCATCTCTGTGCACTCTTCGCTTGTTTTGCCTGACTCACACCCGCACAGCAAGTGAAGCGGCGACTGCTCAGAGCGGGTCGAAGGGCGGCTCCCTCCGCCCCCGCCCGGGTTGAGCCACCGGACCCGCGGGAGGCGCTGCAGCCCGCCGCACACGAGCCGAAGCAGGGCCCCATCCGCGCGGATGTACCGACCCACCTGCAGGAAGGCTCCGGGACAGTTCCGAGACGGCTCCTGGAAAGAGCGAGGCGCATGCGCGGCGGCCCAACCTGCGGGTGCAGCACCTTGACCGCCACCGGCCCCCACTCGCCATCCCGCAGGAGCTCGCCGCGGTGCACCTGCAGGCAAGCTCCGAAATACCTCCTCCCGCAACCCTTCCGCGACGCTCTTTGCGCGGATCCTCGCGCCGCCGCCGCAGCCGTCTCCCGCAGCTCTCTCGCCGCGGCCGCACCTGCGCTATGCAGCCCGAGCCGACGGGGTGCGGCGCGATGCGGAGGACCGAGCGCCAGCCCGGCCCGAAGGCGGCGTCGAGCGCCGCCTCAGTCGCCTCGAGCGAGTGGGGCTGCGTGTGGTCCTGAAGGTGCTGGAGCCGGCCGCAGACTCGGCTGCTAAAGAGGTCGGGACGAGAGGAGGCCCACTGAGCGAGCTTGATGGCGAGCGCGCCGGTGCGCTCGAGCGTGGCGATGCACCAGCTCCACCACACCTCCTCGAGCTGCGGGAACCGCTTCTGCCAAAAGGCGAGCGGGCTAGACAGCAGCAGCGGCGAAAACACGAGCCACAGGTAGGCGGCTCGCAGCGCATAGAAGGCGACGCGCGCCAACCGCCGAGCCAGTGGAAGCGGCTGCTCGCTCGCGACTGGCGCCAGCGCCGTCTCAAGCGGTGGCAGCGGCGGCGGCGGCGGCGGCGGCTCACACAGTGCCGGCTGCTTCCGGTGTCGCCAGGCTCCGGCTGCGAGCGCCAGCACTGTGGCTCGCGCTGCGACGCAGGACGCCGGCGTGCGCGCTGCTACGCAGTACGCATGCGTTCTCCTTGGAATGCATGGCAGTCGTGGTCGCACCGAGGCGCGTAGGCGGAAGCGCTGCAGACTAGCGGCCATGGGCGAAAAAGAATTTTACGAAGAAGAATTCTACGAATACAAGCCCCTCTCACAGCAGACTGGCACGAACTAGCACCACAAAAGGCACAGCAGACAACGGCCCCTTATGGGCCGTCGAAGAGGCCGTCATACTCCTCCGGCCTCGCCCCCCCTTCCCAACCCTCCCCTGGCTCAGGCTCCTCATCCTCGCGGCGCGCAGTGCGCACCCCGCCCCGCGAAGACGAACCCTTCCGCCGGCGTGCCTCGCGGGACTGCCGCCCGCTGCCGCCGCCCTTCCCCCCCTCCGCTGCCCGCGCCGCCTTCTCCGCCGCCCGCGCGGCCGCCTTCGCCTCCTCCGCCGCTAACAGCGCCTCCCTCCGCGTGACCCCTATGGGCCCCTTGCGCATCCAGGAGAGGTCGCGCGAGCGACCTATCCAGGGGTTACCCGGATACGGCGCAACGTAGCCGCTGCGCAGCTCCGAGTAGTCGCCAACGCCCCCCCCCAAATAGCCCTCCAAGCAAGCATCGCAGACCCAACGAAGAAGAATGGCAAACCCCGGAAAGTGGGTCAAAAATGACCACCGACACGTGTAGGCGCGTATCTTAGCTAAGGCTCGCGCCCTGACGTGTAAGTGCTCATGTGCACCGAGCCCATATACGCACCTGCATGTGTGGACGCGAGTATTAACTAAGATGAGCGCCCACGCATGAGGATGCGCGTCTGCGTCCAGGTAGCCCAGATACCGTCTTCGTGTCTGGGCGCTTATCTTGAGTAAGGCTCGCGCCTACACGTGTAGCTGCGTATCTTGAGATGAGCGCCCACGCTTGTGGCGCCTATCTTAGCTAGTACTCGCGGTGTCGGCGTGGGTGCGTGGCGGTCAGCATACGCTCCCACACATGCAGACGCGAATATTAGTCAATATGAGCGCTCACACGTGGAGGCGCGTATGTTGACATACGTACCTGCGCATATGGCGCTCAAAAGTGAATAGTTTTGGGTGATACGCGCTCAAGTCGCCTGTGTCATCTGTCCCTGGCTTGCTGGGCGCTGCTTTATGGCGGATCTCCTTGATGCCGCGGAGGATGATGCCGGCGCCGAGGTGCCCGCGGCGGCCGGGTAGCGAAGCGTTCAGACCACATGGCGGTCAGCAACATCGAGTGGAAAGACGTGGCGACGGTCGTCGAGCCAGCCGTGGCCAAGTGTCTCAACCCCGGCCTGCGCGAGAGGAGGACTTGACGGAGGAGGCCGCACCTTCTTTGTCGTCCGCAAGCGCCCCGAGGGGGCCGCCGTGAAGCATTGGCGCTCATCTCAAGATACGCAGCTACACGTGTAGGCGCGAGCCTTACTCAAGATAAGCGCCCAGACACGAAGACGGTATCTGGGCTACCTGGACGCAGACGCGCATCCTCATGCGTGGGCGCTCATCTTAGTTAATACTCGCGTCCACACATGCAGGTGCGTATATGGGCTCGGTGCACATGAGCACTTACACGTCAGGGCGCGAGCCTTAGCTAAGATACGCGCCTACACGTGTGGGTGGTCATTTTTGACCCACTTTCCGGGGTTTGCCAAGAAGAATTTAGGCGGCTAACTGCACACTCCTCTCCTTAAAATCCCTGTGTGGTGGCGGCGTGCCGTTCTCCCATCCCTCCCTTGGGTTGTGTGTTTTCTTTCTTTCTTTTAACTGCAAAGAGCCTCCCTTTTTCTGGTTAACAACGAAGGCGCTCTTAAAAAATTTCTGTGTCTCGGCACGGGACTGGCGAAAAAAGACACCAGCTACGGCTTCTTTCTTAGCTTTCCGGAGGGGGGTCGAGGCTTTGGCGGCGCCGCGGGGAGGGGGTCGTTTCTGTGGGGACGTCGCCCTCGTCCGCCTCGGAGGCGTAGGTCGTCGGGCGGGGCGTCTCGCTCGTCGCGAACCTGCCGCTGAACACGGCGTCGGCCGGCGCCGGCAGCCGTGATCAGGTCGGCGACCTTTCGGTCCCTGCAGGCCGCATCAATTTTGCCGCTCCGGGACGGCTCGTAGAGCTCTTTGGTGAGCCAGTCCCGGGCGACGATCGTCGCCACAGAGCCCCGAGGGACCGTGGCGTACACCATGTCGCCGAACCCGCTGTCCCCTGTCCCCCTCTGGAGGCAGCGCGTAGGCGACCTGTATCATGGACCCGGTGGGGATGCGCGCAGCCTGCGTCGCAGCCTCCAGCGAAGTGTAGTGTGTCGTGCAATCGTGCACATGCCCATCCTGTACGTAGTCATGGGTGGGCATGGCAATGCAGGGTGTGACGTGTCCCTCGGAGGCGACTCAGACCCTTGCTGGCAAAAGCCGGCGGTCGCGAGGAGGGGCGGGTCAAAGGCCAGCGTGAGCACGACCCACAGCGCAAACTCCTCGGCCTCGCCTCGGAGTGGTCGCGCGCTCGCTCTCTCTGTGTCTCTCTCACACACGCTCGCGCCCCCAGCCCCACCTGTGGCAGCTCGGAGCTGGCAGCTGTCTCCGCGCCCCCCGCCTGTCGCGCCTGTCTCTCGCGCTCTCTCCCCAAAACCGCCGGGTGGCCGCCGCTGGCGAGCGTGGTTGCGGTGTGCACACAGCTTTTTTGTACAACACCAGTTCATGCAGGGGGTCGAGCGTAGGCCCGACTAGCTACGCACCAAAGATTGCACACCCAACAAGACTCCACCGCGCATCGCCGCGCTAATCGACAGCAGCGCACGGTCTCGTTGTGCTCGGGCTTTGCGCGCGCCGCGCACGGCGCGACGACGAGCGCTCTACTTGGCGCAGTGCTCAGCGGAGTGGCGGTAGGGCTGGCTGGGAGCGAACGGCATCGGAACACTCTCATCCCCGCCGCTGAGCTGTCGGTGCAGCGCGGCGACGCCCTTCATGACGGAGGAGACGTCGGAGGAGGCGGTGTCGGTGGGCTGCGTCGTGCTCTCCGAGGTGCGGTTCGGCAGCCCGCCGGTGAAAGGCAGAGGGATCGACGGCGAACTCATGAGTGGGGATCCGCGATGGTAATCGAAGTGTCGTTCTCTGATGACGGGCATTCAGTTTCGGCGCCTGAAAGTAACAAAAAAGCGACCGCGTTGCACCTCAACAGACGGGGAAAAAGAATTTACTGTCCGCAACAACGCGTGTTTTAATCGACTCCTTAATGAAGCCACTCACCATGTCACCACCCTCCTCCTGGCCCTGGTCCCGCGACGCGCTGCTGCGCTACGCCGAAGCCGACGCGGTTTGCTGGATTGATACCCACGCCGAGCCGCCCTGCGCTCGCGCCGTGTCGTACACCGAGCTCGTTGATATGGTTGACCGCGTCGCGGCCATCATTGCAAGCGCTGCCTGCCGAGCAGCTGGCGTCGGCCTGTGCCTGGACAACTCTCTGTCCGCCGTCGTCTGCCATCTCGGCGCCCTCTGGGTAGGCAACCACTTCGTGCCTCTCGACGAGCCGAGTGCACAGCCGCGACTGCAGGGCATGCTCTGTGCCTCACGTGAGATTGAGACAATTATCTGCTCTCCACACCTCGCCGCAGCCTTCGAAGCGGTGGTGCGTGCGTGTGGGCGCAGCATCTCTGTCCTCGTCCTCGATGACGCCGCGCTGCTGCACAAGGATTCCTCTGGCGCCACCGCCGCCTTGCCGCCCGGCGCCTCCACCGCCGCCTTGCCGCCCGGCGCCTCCACCGCCGCCTTGCCGCCCGGCGCCTCCACCGCCGCCTTGCCGCCCGGCGCCTCCACCGCGCTTCCGTCCCAGCGCGCCTGCACCTACCACACCAGCGGCACGACCGGCACGCCAAAGGCGATCCACAGCACGCTCGAGCAGTGGGGCGCCTTTGTCTGCGCCGCAGCGCGGCCCTACCGCCTCACCGCAGCTTCGCGCGTCTTTGTCGCGACGAGTGCCATCTTCGACCCGAGCGCGGGGCTGACCTTTGCGGCGCTGGCCGTCGGCGCGGCCGCCTGCCTCGCGCCCTGGTCCTTCACGCTGCGGCAGCTGCGCCGCTCAGTGGAGCTAACGCGCGCGACGCACGCCTGCTCCACCCCATCGGTGTGGGCGCTGTACGACCTGGAGAGCGGGTCAGGTGCGGGTAGCCTCACGACGCTGCTGCTCGGCGGCGAGCCAATGCCCGCCGCACTCACCCGGGCGTGGCTCGGCCTGGGCGTAGCGCTGATCAATACCTACGGAGCCACCGAGGCGACCGTCTAGCGGGCTCGGATGCCGCCTGCGATGGAGATGCCCTGGACGCGTCATGGACATGACCATAGGCGACCGTGTACCAGTGGGCCTACTGCCTGCCGCCGCACGCAGCCGCCCTCCCGGACGAGGACCTCGAGAGGGAGGGTCGCTGCCTCGGTGCGCCCTTCGAAGGGATCGGCTTCGCCGTCGTGCCCGCGCGGGTGGAGGGCGGGGCCGCTGCGGTGGGCGAGTGCTGTGGCAAGGGATTAGGAGAGGGAGGCGGGGGCGAGGAAGGAGGGGGAGGCGAGCTCGTGCTGTGGGGCCTGCAGGCTGGCGGGCCCAGCCCCATATCTCCCCATAGCTCCCCATATCTCCCCGTATCATATCTCCCCGTATCTCCCCATATCTCCGTGCAGGCTGGCGGGCCCAGCCCCCATATCTCCCCATATCTCCCCATATCTCCCCATATCTCCGTGCAGGTTGGTGGGCCCAGCCCCCATATCTCCCAATATCTCCCTGTATCTCCCCGTATCTCCCAATATCTCCCCATATCTCCCTGCAGGTTGGCGGGCCCAGCCGTTGGTCGGCGGCGAGCGTGGCCGCCGGAGGCGCGCCCGCCGAGGAGGGGGAGGGAGAGAGCCGCTTCCGCACGGGCGACTTGGTGCGCCGACGCGGCAGCGACCTCTTCTACCTCGGCCGAGCGGACCAGCAGGTCAAGCTCAACGGCCGGCGCGTCGAGCTCGGGCCGATCGGTGCCGCCATCCACGCTGCCATGCGCCCGCTCGTGCGCCGCGCCGTCGTGCAGCTTGTCGACGGCCGCTTGCACGCCGCTTGCGCGATGCGAGTGCGAGCAGCGTCTCTTCACACTTCGTGCTGTGAGTAGGACGCTTGCACGCCTTTTGCGCGATGGCGTCGCCGCCGCCGGAAGAGCACGCTTGCGCCGGCTACGCCGCCACCGCCGCAGCCGTGCGGGCGCTCTGCCGGCTCGATTTGCCTTCGTACTTGGTGCCGTCGGGCGTCACGCTATTGCGCGAGCTGCCGCGCACGCCGACTGGCAAGACGGACGCGCGCGCGTTGGCGGCGCTAGCACGTGCGGCCAGGGTGGCGCCTGGGGCGGCGGAGGCGCGGGAGGAGGGCGGCGGCGGCGGCTCGCCGTGGCGCCCCGAGGGCTGGCTCGGGGTGGTCGCGGGCTGCTGGTCGCGCGAGCTGGGCATCCCGGTCGGCCAGCTGCGAGGCTCGCCCGACTTTGGCGCGCCGTGTCCGTGGCATGTCCATGTCCAAGACATGCCCGAGGACATGTCCCGTAGGCTCGTCCGACTTTGGCGCGCTGAGCGGCGACAGCCTTGTCGCGCTCAAGATTTGCGCGCGGCTGTGGCGGCACCGGAATCGAGACGCGGCCGAGGGCGGCGCCTTTGGGGAGGGGATGGGCGCGTTCGGCCCCACGCATTTGCTGGCGACGCCGATCCTGACCGAGTACTCCGCCATGCTCGAGGCGGCGGCAGGGGCGGGGGCGGAGGCAGGAGCGGGGGCGGAGGCAGGGGCGCGGGCGGAGGTAGGGGCCGGGGCGCGGGCGGAGGCGCGGGCGGAGGCGCAGGTGGCGGAGGGTGCGCTCTGCAGCGGGTCGGGCGGCGGAGCCGCGGCGAGGCCCTCCGAGCTCGACGCTCTGACCGTGCGGGCGGCGGCGGCGGGCGAGGCGCCGCTGCTGCAGGTGCTGCTCGAGCGGCACCAGCCGCTCCTCTCGCCACTCGTGGCGAACCGCGTGCTGCTCGCAGCTGTGTGTGCCAACCAGGGCGAGTGCGCGGCCCTCGTGCTCGGGCAGGGCGCGTCGCCCAACGCCACCAGCTCGTTCGGCGTCACCGCCCTGCAGAGCGCGGTGCAGCAGCGCGGCGCGGGCATCGCCCACCGGTTGCTCGCCGCGTGCGCCGATGTGCTGGCCCTCGACTCCAACCGGCAGACGGCGCTACACCACGCCGCTCGCGCAGGAGCGGACAACGGATGCTTGGCGGCCTTGCTCGACCGTTGGGAGTCGGTGGCCGGCGACGACGACGGCTCGGCGTGTGCCTCGAGGGACGTGTGGGGGCGGACGCCATTGCATTGGGCGGTCATCAACGGCCACCGCGAGGCGATCGTCACGCTCGTCGAGGCTGGGAGCGACATTGCGCTGCGCGACAAGCAGCACGAGTCGGCGCTCGACCTCGCCGAGCGGAGGGCGACCTGCCACGCGGTGGGCTTCGGAGGCCGGTGCGACAAGCTGACGGTCAGCTTGCTCAAGCTGATGTTACCGCGCGACCACGCCGACTACAGCTCCTTCCACCCGGAGGGCCTGATGGACCTCTGTACGCACGAGGTGCTCCGGCACGCCGAGAGGCTGAAGCTCGGCGCCGAGGAGCGCGAAGCCTTCCTCGCGCTGAGCCCCGCGGAGCGCGCGGCGATCGGGGACCATGTGATGACAATTGACGAGCTAAATGCGCGGGATGAGGGTCGCCTCTAGGGTCGCGTTCGCGGGGAATAGTACTCAGTACTGACATGATCTAGTGTCCCCGCCCTCTAGTCATGTTCGATCGATCGATCAGCGGCTTCCACCGTCAAGCTGCGCCGAAACTCTGGGGGGGCGCGGGGGCCCCCGGAGGCACCGTGCGCCGCGCCGCAGTGCGGAAACGGGGCCCGGCTCCACTAGTCTCCACTAGCACCGACTTCCCGATTAAGCTAGGTTTATCAGAGGGCAGATTTGGAGAGATCTCGAGAAGTACATACAGATAGAGCCTCCAACCATCAGCAAACTCCGACCTGATCGGTCGTACTGACCGCCGACAGATCACTCCAGACAGCAGACAGGCCGACGTCTGCACACACGGCCGGCCGGGCGAGAGGCTTGACACGATCCGACCCTGCGACCCTGACGCTGCTGCTCTAGCTATCAGACATGCACTGCTGACTGCTGCCACAATGTGCGACCTGTGCTGGCCCACTTGGCGGCCTTCCCGGTCGGTGGTGAGGCGCAGTTCAGAGCTGTCGATGGCGCGATGCCGCACTGGTCCCACATTGGTGACACGAGACCACCAAGTTTGCCGGTCCAAGAGAGAGGTACCGGCGCTGTCCTGAGAAGGTGCGTGGTCCCTCTTGACTGCCCATGCGCGCGAGGCTGCGTAGGCATAGCCTCGAGAGTGCCAGCAGCCAATCCGAGGCGACGCGCATTGATTGCGCCAGAAGCGTGCACACGTTGGAAGGACACCTTCCTACAGACCGTACGATCAGGTCGTCACTGAATGCTTGATACTAAGGCCGCGAGCTATGCAGGTGATCAATTGTGCAGCAGGGCATGGTCAGCAGCGCCGACAGGCTGTCGCAAGGCGTGATAGCATGGCCGCATACCGCCGAATTCCCATGAACAAGTAAAAAATCGCGCGAAAAAAGAAAAAAATCTCGAAAAATCGGCGCCTGCGGCGGGCCGTGGGACCCCATCTCCCCCCCGCATGGGTACCCTCTAGGGCCCCCGCGCCCCCCCAGAGCGCCGAAAAGCACGGATTAGGGATTTGGCGGACGTTGAAGGCTTGCCCCCGTCCACTGCTTAGATCGTCGCATTTTTTTGTGCACGGTATTCGGGTTTTATTTGCTAATTGCTCTCGTGTGGGGGTATATCGCAGATTTTGTCAATGGTACCGCGTCTGCGACGCGGGCGCCTTGCGAGCAGAGCCCTTAGGCCACCCTTATATCTTGCGCTTGAAGAAACAGCAAAAAACGGCTTCTTAAATGCTCGGCCCCAGTCGGGGGGATGCCCGCGCCGCCAAGCTCCCACCGCGGACCCGCGGACGGGCCCCTCGGACCCTTCATGTACGGATCATATAGTCCCCACAATCGCTGTCGTGGGATCGCTTGTCATGCGAGAGATGCGTTGTGTTCTTGTTCGCCAACCGCTTTCTCTTTTGGGGTCGCTTGCCGTGTCACAACATGTGCATGTGAGAGAAGTGCGTCTTGTGGTTCTTGTTTCGTTTGCCCTCTCTCTGTTTTGGGATCGCTTGTCATGTGAGAGAGTGCGTTGTGTTATTGTTTCGTTTGCCCTCTCTCTCTTTTGGGATCGCTTGTCATGTGAGAGAGAGAGAGAGAGTGCGTTGCGTTCGTGTTCGTTGTGTTCTTGTTCCGGATGCGGCTTCTATAGGTAGGGGCCCAGGCCTGCCTGAACTCCTCACTGCACTGTGCACTGTCCCTTGTAATGTGAGAGAGTGCGGTGTGTTCTTGTGTTTGTTACCGCTTTCTCTTTTCCGCATCTGCACCCGCCGTCCGGGGTTCCGACTTTGGGGGGAAGGGTTGGGTAGCATCGACCATCGTGGGATTTGGGGTAGGGGGGTAGGGGGTGGGGGGTGGCTGCCCACTAGAGACGTCCGATAAACGCCCAAATGGAGGGGGTAGGAGGGTAGGGGGTCTGCACAGATCCCGCGAAGGGATCCTCGCCAATTGCGACCGATTTCTCTTAGACCTTGTAAAATTCTCTTAGACCAGCATGGCCGCCATGCTTCTGCGCACTTCGGCGCGCCACCGGCCGGCGCGCCACCGGCAGAAATGCACGGCGTCGCCGGCGCGGGATGTGCTGGTGTTCGACGGCGACGGCGTCGGGCCCGAGATCATCACGGCAGCGCGGCGGGTCGCCGACGCCGCATTGTCCGTCGCCGGAGTCCGTGGCATTCGGTGGATTGAGATGGCCGGTTACGGTTACGACAATGGTCTCGGCGTGACCGAGGCGCACCTTGAGGCCTTTGGCGAGGTGGGAGTACTGCTCAAGGGGCCACTCTCCATCCCTGCCGGCACGAGCGGCTCCGTCATCGAGGCGCGCGGACAGGCCTTCACCTCTGCGAACCAAGCGCTGCGCCAGCTCTTCGGCCTCTACGCGAACGTGCGACCAGCTAGGAGCTACGCGCTGCCGTGGCCCACGCGGTTCGGAGACGTCGCCGTGGACCTGCTCATCGTGCGCGAGAACACCGAGGATCTGTACTGCGGCGCGCCCGAGGTGTGGGTCGACAAAGACACCTGCCAGGCGACGAAGCGAATCAGCCGCGGCGCCTCTGCGCGCATTGCAGAGTACGCGTGCGCTCTGGCACTGCAGCGGCAGGCAGAGCGAGGGGCGCCCAGCCTCGTCACGGCCGTCCACAAGGCGAACGTCTGCAAGCAGTGAGCCGCTCTCCCGCCCCGCCGCACCGCTTGGCCTCTGGCCCTCCCGCACCGCGCTCGCTCGACGCCGCGTGGACTGCAAAAAAGGGAGGGTTGCATTGGGTGAGGTGAGAACGGTAACCCGACGTGACACGAAGTGAGGCCATGCTGACCGACTGGTCGATGCTCAGGTCGGACGGGCTCTTCCTCGAGGAGGCCCGCAAGGCGGCCTCCGCCGCGGGCCTTCGGTACGAGGAGGCGCTGGTGGACTCCCTCTGCGCCGGACTCGTGCTCCAGCCGCAGGCGTATGACGTGCTCGTGGCGCCTAACTGCTGGGGCGACATCGTGTCCGACCTGGCGGGAGGCGTGGTGGGCTCGCTCGGGCTCCTCGGCTCGGCGAATGTGGGCGCGAGCCACGCGCTTTTCGAGGCCGCCCACGGCAGCGCGCCTGACATCGCAGGCTGCGGCGTGGCCAACCCGGCCTCCATGATGCTCAGCGCCGCCATGCTGATGAGGCACGTCGGAGAGGCGCCCGCGGCCGACGCGGTGGAGACGGCAATCGCGGCGGCCCTCGCCGAAGGCTGTGCGACGGTGGATCTGGGCGGCGCGGCGTCGACAGGCGACTTCACCGACGCTGTCATCGCGGAGATCGAGCAGAGTACGATAAATACATGACTTTGCACAAATTTGTAGTAACTCGCTACCCCCTTGCTTTAATTTACCGCAATCGGCTCCTTTTCCTTTCGACACTTTTTACCGCGCGCCGTTTTTATTTATTAATATCGCGGACCACACCCACAAAGAACCCTGCACAAAGATCGCACGGGCGGGGACCTGTTCCTTTTTACCCATCTCACAGTACGAGAGAGGTGTCCGTTTTATTTATTTATTTATTTGTAATCTATAATCAATAATGTCGACCGCCGAGGTAAATAGAAAATACCGGAGTCTATCTACCCCGCGCGGGCCGCGCCCCGCGGCGCGCGGCCGCGGGGTGTATGATACGTGTATGCAAAGAGCGAGCGTGGGGACTGGGGGGAAATTTACGTCACCAGTACGTGCGTATCGCGTACGAGGAGAAACCTACTGAAGATAAACTCTAGTTTGACCGACCCCTTCCCCCTATGTGCTATGAGCGCGCGACCCACCCTCCTGAGTCGAGGGCCGCGCCGACCACGCGCCGTCTCGGGTCAGCGCTCATACCCGGGCCGGTAGACGGAGATCCCTACCCCACCTCCCGCAGCGACCGGCGCGTCTCGCAGGGCGTCGCCTTCGCGACCTGCCGCGGGCTCTCGAGCCGTCGGCGCCGTGAGCCCCGGCACGCCCGTCGTCTTTGCGGTGCCGACCGTCGAGGTGTACGGGCCCCACGACGAGACGACCTGGTAGCCGTCGCCGTCGCCGTCGCCGTCGCCGTCGCCGTCGCCGCGCTCCTCGAGGAGCAGGCGCGCGTACTCGGCGGCCGCCTCCTCCCGCCGCTTCTCCTTCATCCGCACCATCTTGTTGCGGACGATCTTGCGCCAGTAGGAGCCGTCCTCGTTGGGCTGCACCACCTGCGGGTAATCTCGGGTGATCTCGGGTGATCTCGGGTGATCTCGGGGTAATCTCGTTGGGCTGCACCACCGTCACTGTCGCCGACTCGTCGTCGACCAGCAGCACCGCCTGCTCCTCGCCTGAGGCGGGCGGGGGAGGCACGCGAGTCAAGGCCGCGCCGCTCCTCCCCAAGCGGCGCGGCCAGCCCCCGCACCTTCGCCCTCGGCCGAGGCGCACTCGGCGCCCTGCATGTCGAAGTCGAAGGAGCTCTTCTTGGGCAGCGTGACGCACTCGTCCGCGCCCGAGCCCACCACCACCACCCTCCTCCCGTCCAGCTCGTCCGCACCCACAACCAGCCCGAGCGGCGCCAGCGTCGACGCGTCGTACTCAATCAGCCGCCCGTCGTACACGCCTAAAAAGGACATGTCCTCGACATGTCCACGACGGGCCCTCACAGCCGACCCGCTGCGGCCCGTCGCACACGCCGAGCACGCGGCCGCACGACATGCGCCACCACGCCACTGTCTCCTCGCCTACGGCCGACGCCCAGACAAGGCTCCGACAAGGCTCGTGCAGGCGCAGCCCTCCCGCCGCCGCCTCCTCGCCGACGCACTCGCCCTCGGTCGGGTCGACGGACAGCGAGTCGTCGTCGCCTGCGGGAAGGTTCAGAGACGCTTCCGAGAAGGGTCCGACCGGGCCAGGGCGACCGAGAGCGCGTCGTCGTCGCCCACGTAGCAGCCGTCGCCAGCCGAGGGCGAGTACACCTTGACGAAGGTCTCGCTGTCGCGGTCCACCTGCGGGCCGCCGGGGAGACGGGGCGGGGAGAGGGGGGGGTGGGGAGAGGGGGGGCGGGCGCGGAGGTGGCGTGGGAAATGGAGGTGTGGGGAGGGTGTGGGGAGGTGGGGAGGGCGTGGCGCGCCTCGTCGTGGTCGTGCGCGTAGACGCCGACCTCGTGCCCGCTGTCCTTGTAGGTGATGGTGGCGTCGAGCCGGACGGAGCCTCCGTTTGCGTGGTTGACCGTCAGGATCTCGAACCCCGCCTTGTTGCCGCGCAGCAGGCGCGACTGGCGCCGTCCGTCGCGCGAGCAGCCGCCGCGCATCACTCCGGCCTGCACAAAGACGCACGATCCGCGGTTCGGGTACGGGCCCTCTTCCCGCGGCACCGTCGGGAAGGTGATCGAGTCCTGAGCACGCCACGCGAGAGGTGCGATCAGCGGGAGGCGGGACGGGTGGCTCGACTCGGGAGAGGTTGCTCGGCGCGGTGCGGGGAGGGCGGTCCCTCGCAGTTTGCGCGACAGAGGCGAGGGGTGGGGGAGGGTCTAGGAAGGGTCTGTGGGAAGGGTGTGGGAAGGGTGTGGGAAGGGTGTGGGGAGGGTCTGGGAAGGGTGTGGGGAGGGTGTGGGGAGGGTATGGGGAGGGTCTGGACCTCGTAGTCGTGAGAGAGGTGGAAGTGTTAATAATAATAATAATAATAATAATAATAATAATAATAACCTCGTAGTCGTGAGAGAGATGGAAGTGTCCCGAGAACCACCCCTTGATGCAGCGGTGCCGCCGGACGAGCTCGATGAACTTGCGCGTCGTGCGCGGGTCCGCCTTCTCGCCGCCAGAGTGGTTCAGCCAGCAGCAGCCGTTGACGACGTGGTTCTCCTGCAGCACCCTCAGCCCGGAGCCCATCGGCGGCGCGTGCCTGCTCACACCCGCAGCCGTGACGAGGCGCTGTTCACACCTCGATGCAGCGCCCGCCGCGGTACGCGCGTAAAGACGAAGAGCTTCCAGCCCTCCTCCGCCGGCTTGGAGGCGACAAAGTCCTCGAACCAGGAGAGCTGCTCGTCGTCGACCGTCACCTCGTGCGACGTGTACTTTGCGCCGCGGAAGATGGTCGACGTGAGACCGACGAGGACCGTCTTATCGGCAATCTCGCGCACAAACTGCGGCGCAGGCTTGCCGTGGATGCGGCAGAAGGCCTCGAGGTTCTCTGCATCGGTGGCAAACTCGTCAATGCCCTCGAGGTCGTGGTTTCCGCCCACGACCTCGTACGGCACGCCAAAGGAGGAGAGGTACTCGGCCGCATGATCGTGGCACGCCGTCGTCCCGGCATACAGCTCGGGCGAGCCCTCCCAGCACGGCTTGGACTCGCCCAGGTCGCCCAGTGATACCAGCGCCGCGCCAACGCCTCGTGATGCGGCGTCCTCAAGCACGGGGACGATGTGCGACCGGCCCTCGGCGTAGTCGTCCAGTTTTCGTGGATCGACGTGCAGGTCTCCGAGGATGGCGACCGTGAACTCGTCCGCGCTCGGCACCTCGCACTCATCAACGTCATTCTCCTGAACCTCTTCGTCACAGCGGGCAGCGTAGAAGTCGGTGCCGAGGTCCTCCTCCTCTACTATCATCGCTGGCCCGCGGCGGATTGCAGCATGGAGGAGGTGGCGCGGCCGGATCGGCGACGGGCGGAAGGACAGGAGCGAGGCGGGGAGCAAGGCTCCCATCATTCGGGAGAGGCGAACGGCGCAGAGCGAAGCCTCGGCGGCTTCAAATGGAAGAAGAATTCTCCATCCTCCAACCAGTCAGTCAGTCAGTCTTACACACCTCCAAGCATGGAGGACGGGCCCACACGCACACACATGCTGCACACGATTGGCTCGGGAGCCGACACGAGGCACACTGTCACCGGCCGTAGCACCGGGTCCGGACTGCTGGACACACAGCACAAAAACAAAAATCTTTCTCAAGCGCAACAACTTCAACCTGCTGCTCCACGAGACGTTCGGCGGCGGCTTCTCGCCCACCGCCGTTCTCAAGCTGCGCCGCCTCGCGCGCAAAGTCGCGCGCGGCAGCGTTGACCGCACGGCCTACTCGCCCAAGTACTCGCTCTCTTTTATGTCCCACCATGCAGAGCGCATCTCTCTCTCTGTTGTGCGAGGCGTGAACCGCGCCATTCGCTCTCACCTGGCAACCCTGTCTGCACGTCTCGCGCGCGCGTGAACAGGGCTCCAGGCCCCAAATTACGTGTGAGTGTTAGAGTTGTTTGGTATTGCTAAAAATCTCTCTCTCACAGCACACAGCTCACAGAACAGCTCACGAGGTGGCGCTATATAGTGGGGTTCTCAGGGACCGACACAGGAGAAGAAGGTGGGGCACAGGGACAGGTCACAGGACTCACGAACTGATATCCAACCAGCTAGGAGAGAGTGTGGCGATCCGCCTCCACTCTTGTGTTGCTCGCTCGCTCGCGGCGGAGGGCATGGCCGCGGTGGAGGCGAGTGCGCGCTTGCCAGGCCTTCCGCAGACAGCCTCTCGGGCCGACTGAGGGTCGGCTTTGCGTGGCGTGTGGCGGCCAGTGGCAGTGCTGGCCGTTCCCCGTTCGCGCGCTCATTTTCTTATTTTTAGCTTGTGCCGTTAGTGTACTAGTGTGCGCCAGTCCACGCCCTTGCCGTGCCAGTGTGCTGTGAGAGAGGCTTTGTGTTTTAAGAATTCTTTAGTGTGTGTGCGTGTGTGCGCTGGCACCGCTGGCGCGCTGTCGCGGGCCGCGGCCGGGCAAAAAGGCTCCTGCCGCCGAAGAGGATTTGCCTCAAGAGTGCTCTCAACCGCGGCGCCACCGCCCGCACCAAAGGCCTCTGCGGCTTTTTTTGCTAGCCTAGCCCTCCTAACAGTCCGACTAGGTTGTCGTCAAAGCAAGTGCGCAATCGGGATCTCCCTGTGCGCCGGGCAGGCCGCCCTCAAGAACTGCAGGATCCGGCGCTCGACCGGCATTTCCCCTCTGTCCCCTTGGGCTTGGCCGTGCAATGACGGGCCGTCCCCGGACGCGTTGGCCCCGGCGCCTCCGCCGGTGACCGCCCACTCGAGCTCGGCCCACTCCTCGCGCTTGAGTGGGTTGATGTGCAGGAAGCCCGCGGCGGGCATTCCACGGTGCGTGCGGTCGCGATAGACGCCGAGCTGGCCGGTGACGAGCCTCGCGAGCAGCGCCGAGGGCAGGTAGTGCACACCGCCTATCACCTCCTCGAACGACGCGGTCGTCTCGGTCAGCGCCGGCTGCTCAAAGGCGGATGGAGGGAAGAACCGGCCGCGCTTGTCCCGCTTCACGGGCAGCTCGTACACGCGCTTGTACTCGACGAGGTACCTCCGCAGCCACGTGCGCAGAAAGGCGCGCGCAAGCGGTGTGGACTTGTAGGCAAGGAGGCCGCCGTGCACGTAGTTGATGTGGTCGTGGGCGCGAGCGCCCTCCCGCATCAACAGCAGGTCGGCGTCGGGCCATGCCCGCGACACCTCTGCAAGCCCCGCAAAGGCGGGCGGCGAGCAGACCAGCACGTCCGCGTCGAGAAAGACGGTGAGCTCGGTGAAGGGCGAGCGCAGCAGCGCCGGCACCTTGTGCAGCCGGAACCCGTACTCTGGCCGCCGGTCGCGCGCGTAGTCGAAGCAGGGCAACGAGCCGGAGGGCAGGTTGAGCGGCGTGACGAGGCTGTGCGCCGGCCAGCCTTGGGCCGAGGCTTCCGCGTCATCATCTGGGCCGACGATGACTGCCGGCACGTCCGAATGGCGGCGTAGCACCTACGTCGCGTCTCTCCGTGTCGGGAACGTCATGGCAATCACCAACATGTGAGGGTCTCGTGGCTGGGGAGCGGCGGAGGCGAGGAGGCGTCTACGAGGCTCGCGCCTCGAGCGCCGTCTTTGCGACGCCGAGGAAACGCTGGCTCGACGCCATGAGGACGCCGACGGCGGCGCTGGCTCCCGGTGGAGTCCCGAGGCGCCGGCTACTGAGTGACAGCAGCGCGCGGTCGGAGACGAAGAAGAGCAGCTCGGCGCCCGAGGTGAGGCCGTGGTCAATGCAGCACATGTTGCAGCATCGGACGTGCGGCACGGGTCCGGGCGCGTGCTTGTCGCGGTCGTAGCGGCAGCAAAAGCGCGCACGGCGCAGGCGGCTCGTGCTAATTGGATCAAAGCTCATCCCCCACCGCTCCAGCAGCGGCAAGAGTTGCCGGTTGAGCACGCGTCTCCGCCCCTGCACGTCCGGCGCGTCACGAAAGATGACTATCATCCCGCGGCGCGGCGCGCAGGCGAACGCACTCTGCACAGCCTGCGGCGGGCCCGTGCCACTCTCGCCAAGGATGAGCGCGGCTTCCGCCACCAGGTAGCGCTGCCTCAGGCAGCGCTCTGAGTGCGGCAGCAGGTCAGCCACCGGCAGAGCGCTGCGGTTGCGCGCGAGTGCGCAGAGGTGGTCGGCGCGCTCACGATCGCGAGAGCGCTGGCCGTAGGTGCGATTGAAGTTGGATGCGTTGCTGTAGTCCACGTCTAAAATCTCCAGCTCCAGGCTCAGACGCGCAAGGAATGCTTCGGATGCGAGCGGAATCCGCCGGAGGGAGGAGTTGGCACGCCCGAAGGGCCGCCGGAGGACCTGCTGCCGCTCTGCAGCCTCTCGCTCGAGCCGGCGGCGCTCGTGTGAGCCAGGGCGGCCAGCCCAGCGGCCGCCCCACGGGCTGATCCGCTCTAGCGCCAGGCCTCGCTTGTGGCACGCCCTTGCGAGCGCCCCCTGGTTCGAAGCAGCTCCAGGAGTGAGCACTGAGGCGAGGAGCCGCGCTCGAACAAGCTGCGCGGCGGTCTGATCCCGCCTGGCGTGTCTTTGGCCGCTGGCATTTCGTCGTGCTGCCGGCAGCGCTGCGCGCTGCTGCGGTGTTGTCCTCTGTGAGCTCCGCCCGCTGACCACCGGAATGGTCGGCGTCGAGTTCAGTAGGCGTGCTGCCTTCCCAAGATCCCGATTGACCTCGCGCCCGGCATTCGTGCCTGCAGCGGACCCGGTGGTCGTATTAGATGGAGCGGCGAGCACAAGTAGTAGGAGGCAAGTCGCGTCCATCGCACCACCATGCGCCCCGACGCGGAGGCGTTCGTTCAGACTTCGAAACACGGCGCGTGCGTGCGTGGGTGGGCGTTGGCGGCGCGACGGGCCACCACACTATGGCCAAGAGAAGCAAGCTGAAGGCTCGCCTCGATCCATTTGCCGATGAGCCGCAGACGGCGCTCGGCCTCACGCGTCGAGCCATTGCTGTGGCGCTTCAGCCGAGGCTGCCCGCCGGCGAGACGCCTACCGAAGCTGCGTGCAGCTCGAGGGCCCGAATGGTTGCGGTGGAGCAGGTCAAGCCAATTCCGCACCGCAGGTTCTGTAGCGCGCGGCTCGCTACGCAGCTCGGCGAAAGCAGCAGGTCGTTGATGCAGGACAGCGGCTTCCTGAGCAGAGGCGAGTGGCTGTCTGGTCCCAGAGACAGACGGCCCGAAGAGACTGACCCCACACCCAATCACACATGCAGGCGAGCGCTTTCTGCTCAAGTACACCAAGCCTGAGAACAACCACACCTGGCTTCACAACTTTGGCAATGCGCTGTACTGCTATGCGGACAGGTTTGCGCTGCAATCCCTCTGCGGTCCGGGAGGCACCGTGCCAGGCATCCTCGGCGGTAGGGCCAGGAGGGTGCCTGCCCCCGCCGACGGGGCGCGCCTCTCGCGCGCGTGCATCTTTGCGGTCTGGTGCCGGGACCCGACTCTGGGCGGTCCCTCGTGGCACACCGCGGGCGCGTGCTGGGGCAGCTACGGCTACGCCCCAGTGTTGCCGCAGCTGCGCGAGCAGGAAGACAGCCCAGTGGCTGTGCGAGGGTCGGGTGCGGGGTGGTCTCACAGTGGCCGCTCGTCCCCCGTAGTTTGGTCAACGCTTGGCCGAGATCCTGGATGCGCAGACGCTGTCGCGCCCATGCGGGCGTTCTACGCACGAGAGAGTTGGGGTCGTCTACATGCGGTGCGGTGACTGGCTAAGCCCGCGCCCAGGGCACGTGCTGCTGCGTCTGCCTTGGTTCAATCGCTTCGGCCGCGCGGCACTTGGGGACCTCGACCGTGTCGTGATCATCTCGAACCGTCAGACACACGTCTCGGCGCCGTGGCAGCCTCGCACCTGCAACGCTCTCGTCGGCGGCGTCCGCGACCATCTGCAGCACCTGCTCGGACCCCGGACCGTGGTGGAAGTCGCGGAGGAGGCAAAGATCCTCGTGGATCTGCACTGCGCGGTCAGCGCCTCCGTGCTGGTCGTCGCCACTTGGGGCTCGTCCTTTGGCCACTGGGCGGCGATGCTGGGCCGCGCGTGCGTCATTGTGCTGCCCACGCTCCTCGGACTCGAGGGCCACGCCATCGCTGCAAAGCACGGCGAGCCTATCGGCTGGCGCAGAGGGCTCTACTATGTCCCCGCAGCACGTGACGATTGGGTGCGAGTGGCCGATTACCCGCCGAGCGTGTGGTCAGTGCCGGAGAGGGCGCTCGCGCTGCTGAGGGCGAATCGAAGCAAATGATCTCCGGTCGGCAGTGGAGGAGAGGCGGCAGAGTTTGGTTTCTGTTAAGCCTCTGTGTATGTACGCCACGGCGTTATACACACATGCTGGAATGGTGACGGGCCGAGACGACATCACCGGCGTCGCATCAAATACACGTTTTTCACTGCCGCAGACGCCGCCTCCACTAGGCTATGAGGCCGTGAGGCTGGGTCTCTACTGGAACCCCCACTCCCCCAGCGGCACGGCCTTTACCGACACACTCGTGCATCCCCCAGATGCCTTGAAGTCGGACCAGAGCTTGAAGTGCGGCTGCGCCTTGTGGGTATCAACGGCCGCAGCGTCGACATAGGCCTCGTAGAAGAAGAAGCGCGTGTCTGAAGCGCGGAGCACGTCGAACCGAAGGCACCCCGGCTCCCCCCGGCTACCTTTCGCATCCGCCTCGATGACTTTGATAAACTCATCGACCCGGTCGGGAACAATCTCGGCGTCCACGACGATGGCGACGCCGGGCTGCGCCGCCACGGGAGCGCCGCCGCGCAGACGGTGCACACTCTGAGCTGGCCGACGAACGTTGTGAAGCTGCAGCGCAGAGGCGCCGCCGATCAGCAGGAGCGCGAGTTGGGAAATCATGAGGAATCCTATGTGCTGTGTCGAGAGGAATGTGCAAAAGAGAAACATGTTGGCGGGGCGGTGCGTATTCTCGTATTACTAGCTCCGAGTAGAGGGCAGCGTCCTGCAGTTAAGGGGAAACCTGGTACGCGGGGCTAACCCTCGGAGAGTATTCTTTAGCTCCGAGCAGAGGGGGCGTTCCGCAGCTAGGGGGACCCACAGCGCGAGGGAAAAATCCCGCCGCTGGGGGAAACCCGGAGCGCAGAGCCAACCCTCGGAGACCCGTGTTATGGCCCTGCGACTGCGCACCCCCCCACGGTCGAGGAAGAGGGTGCGTTCTGCAGTTAAGGGGTAACCCGGTACACGGAACCATCCCTCGGAGACTTTAAGGCCCTTTCCCTGCGAACGCGCACCCCCAGGGCTAGGGCTTTCTTGCCCGCAACCCGATGCCAATCATCCGGCCCGCTGGGTGCGCTTCTGAGCTCCCCGGCCCTGGATGTGCGGTTGATGACTGCACTCCAAGTGCCCCTTTCCCTGCGAACGCGCACCCCCGGGGCTAGGGCTTTCTTGCCCGTAACCCGATGCCAATCATCCGGCCCGCTGGGTGCGCTTCTGAGCTCCCCGGCCCTGGATGTGCGGTTGCTGACTGCACTCCAAGTGCTCCAAGTGCGGGTGGGACATTCCTCTCGATGTGCAAAAGATACTCTTACAAGGAGTGCCCAGTGTTGTGCAAAAGAGAATTTTACAAGAAAACTCAACACTGCAAAAGAGAAAGGTGTCGCCCACTCTCCGGGAGATGTCTGCTCTATTTATTAGCGTCTGTGGGGACTACATGATCCCTACCTGAAGGGTGGAAGGCCCGTCCGCGGAACTAGGCGCGCGGGCACCCCCACTGTCGCCGCTCACGCCGCCGCCGCCCTCCACCTCGCCCACGCTTCCGCGCCGCCCTCCACCTCTCCCATGCCACCCCCGCCCTCCACCTCGCCCACCCCTTTGCCGCCACCCTCTCCTTCGCCGCCCCTCGCCCCCACCGCCCTCCTCCTCCACCCCTCGCCCTCCCCCCCGCCCTACCGAACCACCCACCGCCCGCCCATGCCGACCTCCGCCCTCCCGCCACCCTCCCCCCTTCCCGCCCTCCGCCTTCGCCATCCCCCATCTGTGCATTCCACTCCGTTCGCTCCCTCCCGCTTGGCGCCCATCCCGCCCTCCGCCCTCGCCCTCCGCCCCTGCCCTGGCTGGCCTGGGTGGCACCTCCTCATCATCACGCGCCAAGTGGGAGGGAAGTGGACGGGGCCCTGAGCCGACCTAGCCCTAAACGGATGGGGCGCCCAACACGTGCCGGATTACTGTGCCTTCCCCGGGCACAGCCTTTCGGTTCGTGATATCGTGAAAGGGTCGGTGCGTGTCGTGTCTCGTGACCTCCTGGAACAACCGTACTCTCCCGCACCATCTCCGTTGCTTGGTTTTACAACCTTGCCACAACCGGGAGGCGGCCAGGACTCATAGACTCGGTCGAGAGACCCCAGATTGGCATCCATGCCTTTCTGGACAGGGTGGCCCGCCACAAGCGACAAGGACCCCAGGAATTGCGACTCGCCGCTTTCCTCCCACTTGTGATTCTGTGTGAGCTCGGTGTCTTGATTTGCCAACAATACACCTACACCCACTGTGGCCGAACGTAAGGAGCCGTTTGGCGCGCTCAGTCGGATTCACGCCCCTCCCATTCGAAGTAGATGGTACCACCGTACTATTTAGGGTGGGCTCCGGCGCCCGCCCGCATCGCCCCAAGATGGCAAGCGGAGCCTACCCACGTGGCGCGCAGGTGCCCTCGGCTTACGGACCGAGTCGCACGAGGCTCACATTAAGTGAAGATCAGGGGAGTTGACCCAGATGGTTGGTACGCATTTTGCGCGCCTGCTTGTTGATGTTGTCGGCGTCGCCCGCCACCGCCGCCAAGCCGCAGGAGATCTGCTGCGTGTGATCGACGACAAAGGAGGAGGCGCACTGGCAAGCTCCTGGCAAAAGCTTGAAAAGAAAAAATACCCCCAAAACTCTGCAATTAGGACGTACGAGTCTAGCTCCCGCGCGCGAGGGTCATGAGCGCCTGCCTCGCGAGCGGGCGGAGCCTCTCCAAGCTGGGGCTGGCCATGTTTGCTGCGCTGTGCGAGACTCAGCCCCTCGCGCCAGTCACGCTCATCAGCCCCGTCTCCATTGGCAGCTCTTTAGCGCTCGCACTCGCAGGCTCGACGCCGGGCGGCAGCGCAGAGGCCGAGCTTTCGCGCCTCCTCGGTGCACACGAGCAGATTGCGGAGGCCATCGATGGCCTGCTCAGCTCTGCTCGCGGCAACGGCTCTGGCGTTTCCCTGCGAGTGGCCAATGGCGTGTGGGCGGGCACAGCGGTGCGGCCAAAGTTTATCGAGAGCGCCACCCGCATTCATCGCGCGCAAGCGGCGCCCCTTCCGTCGAGCTACGAGCCCGTCAACAGCTGGGTTCAGTCCCGGACGGATGGCGAGGTGCCGAAATTGCTCTCGGGGACGCCAGACCCGCTCACTGTGTCGCTTCTTGTGAGCGCCGTGTCGTTCAAGGGCGTGTGGGCTGAGCGGTTTGAGAGGGAGAGGACGGCGGAGGGTGCCTTCTGGCCGCTCTCGCCTGGCGCGGCGACGGCCAGCCAGCCCGCGAACTTTATGCGAAGGAAGGGCGCGGCTTGGGCCTCGCCCACGGTGGCCGCGCTCGGGGGAGCCGCGGCGCTGCGGCTCGACTATGGCGACGCGGACGCGGTGGCGGACAGTAAAGGCGCCGGCTTTTGCGCACTGTTCGTTCTTCCCGCCGAGGCAGGCGAAGCATCCCTAGCCGCGACCATCGCCGCGCTGCGGACAGCGCCGTCGCCTGTCGACACGTCAGCGGCGCCTGCCGACCCTCTCTCCGCCGCCCTGTCGACATTGCGCCGTCGCGAAGTGGACGTCTCGATCCCACGCTTCACCGCGGAGTGGGGCGCCTCCAGCCTCAAGACTGCGCTGCGTGCCCTCGGGCTGTTGAGTGCGTTTGACGGCAGCGGCCAGTTTCTCGAGCTCAGCGACGAGCCCGACGTCCACCTGGACGAGGTGCTGCACGCAGCGAGGGTCGAGGTCAACGAGGAGGGCACAGCTGCGGCCGCCGCCACCGTGGCGGAGATGGGCGTGCGCAGCCTGCCGCCGCGCCCCCTCGAGCTGCGCTTCAACCGGCCGTTCCTCCTGGCGGTGCTGCACGAGGAGACGGGGACGCCCCTCTTTGTAGGACGTATCAACAGCCCACAGTTTTCGTGAGTGCGCGCAGCGTCGTGAGAACAGACGCGGAGACGCGGACCACAGATTTCTGGTTGCCTCTCAAAATTCTCTCTCTCGAGCCGAGAGCCGACGGCGACGCACTGTCGACGGACGACGCGAGAGCCGAGAAGGTGAAAGAAAACAGGAGCTGCCGCGTTGTTGCTTCTGTTGTCCGACTCGAAAGAAAGAAAGAAAGAAAACACACAAGCCAAGGGAGGGATGGGAGAACGGCACGCCGCCACCACACAGGGATTTTAAGGAGAGGAGTGTGGTGCGCTAGCCGTCGCCCACCCGACTCGAAGGAAGGATGGTTGGTCCACTGTTTTTCTTTCTTCGTTCCTCGCTCAGGAACGAGTCGTCGAGGCATGGCGCAGGGCAACTTCAAGCTCAAGAAGCCGCAGGGACTCAAGAAGGCGAAGCGCGGGCCGCGAGGAGACCAGCAGAAGCTCAAGAAGGGGAGTGAGCGTCCGCACAGCAAGCACACACACGTCGCAAGCGGCCACGCTCATCACGCACGCTCACGCCGGTCACATCACGCCGGCAGATCACGTCATCGCGCCGAGGGCGCACCGTACAGCGGAGCGGAAGGACTTCGAGGCACAGCAGGCGTGCTGACGCCGAGCGTGCGTGCACACGCTGCCCGACTCACACTGTGCTGTCTCTGCGCCTCGCAGAGAATAACCAAGGCTATCGGGAAGAGAATCGAGCAGACGATTGCGGCGCGCGGCAGGCCCGCGGTTGCCCAGCCCAGCTCGATCGTACGGCCCCAGGCTCTGATGCCCCGCCTGTGCCCGCAGCGGCGACGGCGCTGGCTTGAGTGTCGTCAAGGCGGACGGTGCGGCGGCCAGTACGACGTCTGGGGCGCTCGGGAAACGGAAGGGGGCCATCAACGACATCAAGGCGAAGAAGAAGAATCTCCACTGAGCAGCTGTGGGCGCATGTTAAACGTGGTGTCTCGTGTGGCGAGTGCGGCGGCAACGAGGTTGTGGTTATTTGGAGCCGTATACGTTTGGATCGTGGTCCCGCGCACGTGTGTGGACGTCGCGCGCGTCGGAGAGCGCCCCCCGGAGCGCCGGTCCGCGTGTTTTGTTTCTTAAGGAACCGCCATTTGCGAGGGCTCACTTCACAATGAGTCGATTCTTTTATAATTTCATGCGCCGGCGCGAAGACGCTACTGTATTTGACTCGCCCCCACGGGACGGGCAGGGCGCACGCACCGTCACCGGCGACTGGCCCATGCGCTGATATCTCACACCTTTTCTCTCTGACACATACCCGGAGAGAGCCGGCCGCGGCTGCAGGGGTTCGGATGCGGGCGCGGGCATCGTGTGTCGCGCGGCGGCTTGAATACAACGGTGTGCGCACCAACTCGAGAGCACGGCGGGACGCCTCACCTGCTAGACGCGATCGAGCTGATCCTTTCGGCCAGCAGGGCGGAAGCCCGTCGCCGCCGGTGGGCTCGCCGCGTTTGGGAATCCGAACATGGTTCCCCACACAGAGGAGCTCGGCGCCGGCGCCTCGGCGGGGGTCGCGAGCTCGGTTTGGACCACCTCCGGCGGAGGTGCTGGCGCCTCTGGGAGGGAGGCCGCCGAGCTGCGGCGCGAGGCTGGGTCGGCGTAGTTTATCGCATCGTACGGCGCCGGCTTGCTGTCCACCGCCTGGGGCAATGCAGAGCGGACCCCCGGGCGGCTGGTCGTTGACCGCCTTTTTCGGAGCGCGTAAATGCAGCAGCAGAGGAGGAGGGCGGCGAGGGGCAGGCCGAGGCCGAGCCCGAGCCCGAGCCCGAGGCGCAGCCCAAGGTTGTCTGACGACGGCGGCGGGGGGGGCGGAGACATTTAGGCTGAAAATGGGCGCGTTCCGGCGGGCACCAAGGGAGGGCTCGGGTTTTCCGATTTTTCATTGTTTTGCTTTTTTATTTGAGCTCTAACGTCAGTCCCGGAGGAGGACTCTGCTGACGGGGTTTGCCATGCATCTTTTGGTTCTTTTCTGTTCTTTTCTGTTCTTTGGGGTTGCGATGAGGAGCGATACCGAGATCGATTTATCCGCCACCTTCGCGTCGCTCCGTCCGCGCCGCCTGCCGCTCCGGGCACGCCCGCGGCAGGTCGCCAAAGCCGCGCACGCCGCCCACCTCCGGCACACGCGACGCCGAGAGCGACGTCAGCGGCGCGCGCTCCACGCTCCCGAGCGCGTCGCGCCGCATCCAGTATGCGCCGAGATCGCGCGTGCGCAGGTCTGCGCGATAGACCCGATCCATCGTCCGGGAGTTGACCTGGCGGTGGCCCAGCACTCGCGCCGCGACGGCGCCGTGGCCCGCCGACGCCGGCTGCTCGCACGCGTCTTTGCGCAGACTCCACGCGCCCACCTTGTGCCGGGCCATGCCCAGCTGGCGCCCCGTCTCGATCAGGCGCCGGCAGGAGTCGCTGCACGTCGAAGCTCTCGGTGAACAAGAAGAACCCCGTCGCCTCGTCGACGCCGGGGAACAGAGGCCGGTCCAGGGCCGCCTTGTCGAGCACCCAGCCGTCCGCTCGGCACGCCGCAACTAGCGCCGGCAGCCTCTCGTAGCCCGTGTCCTCCAGCTCGAGCCCGGCGAACCCGCTCGGCTCAGCCACCTTGCGACGCAGCGCCGCCGCGCTCGCCTCGCTCAGCTTCGAGTAGCACGCCCTGAAGCTTCCGCAGCGCAGCAGCAGGCGCACCATCGCCAGCGTCCCGATGCGCATCATCTGGTCCGAGTCGGGCGTGATCGCCGTCCCGAACTCGTAGCACGCGTAGTACTCGCCCTTCTTGCGCGCGAAGGTCACCTCCATTCGGATGAGGGCCTCGAAGTCGCCCTCGGTCATCACGCCCGCCCCGCCTAGTCCCCGCAGCAACTCATCCGCGGCGATGGACAGGTCGCCCATCGTCAGCGGCGGCAGCTCGTGCCTGCCGGCGAGCGGCACGGCTCAGTGGCATCTCGCCCCATCACGCGCCAACGCCGCGCCGTCCTACTCGCCTCTCTCTCTCTCTCTCTCAGCGGGAGATGCGCGCCAGTGGCTGTCCGAATCGGCCGCGTCCGCCGCATCGTTCACCGCCATCCCCGGCCGGCACCCGGTCTGCCGCGCGAAGCACAAGTAGGCGTTCATGATGAAGGCCACGTTCACCTCGAAACGGCTCTAACAGCTGCGTGTCCTGCATCTGGTACTCTCCCACCTGGAAGAGGTGCTGCCTCGTGCACGGCTTCGTCGTCGCCTCGCGCAGCTCGGCCATCGTCCGCCGGCTCGCCTCGGCGCTCGCCCTCTCGCTCGCCGCCCGCTGCGCCGCCTCACTCTGCCCGTGCGACGCGCTCTCCCGCGCCGCCTCGCGGCCCGCCGCCCGGCCGGCGGCTCCCGCCGCGTCCTCTATCCCGCCGCCGTCGCCGTCGTACAGCGACATCACCTGGTTGGTCACCAGCCGCCAGTACTGCCTCGCGTCGCCCGGCATCGCCGGCCAGATCTCGCGCCACACGTGGTTCTTCATGTGCTGCAGCGCGACGTAGACCGTGTTCTCGCCGCGCCCCGTGCGCACCGTCGGCTCCTCCTCCCGCGCGTCGCCCCGCTCGGTCGCGTGCCACCGGCTCGCCCTCAATGCTCTGACCCGCGTCGTCGCCAGCCACTTGCCGAAGCGGATCGTCCACCGCATCGTCGGGTGCAGACCGAGGGCCGTCCGCTGCATCGGCACGCTCTTCCCTGCCGCGGCCTGCGTTGCAAGGAACTCGCGCAGCTGCAGGCGCACGCGCCGAAGCTGCACCGACAGCGCCGGCCCGTGGGGCGCTAGCATCGGCTGCTCATCGCCACGCGCAGCCTCGTCCTGCCGCTCGTCATCCTCCGCCTCGAGGGCGTCCGCCAGCGCGCTGCGCCGCACACCCCGGCGCACAGGAGGCGGCGCCGGCCGCGCCTCGGCCGCCTCGGCGTCGCGCACGGCACGGGCGCCCTCGCCGTCCGCGCGGTCCATCGCCGCATCCCCATCCACGTCTGCGGCGGCGCCTCCTGCGCCCGCGCCGGCCTGCTCTGGGACGGCGCGCCACCGCTCGTCGTCGAGCATGTGCCACCAACGCCGATCCGGGTAGCCGTCGTACTCGACCTCGTGCACGATCCGTCCGTCCAAGTCCTCCTCCCGCGCCATGACGGTCGCAGGGTACCACCGCTCACTGTCGCAGAAGATCTCGAGGCGCGATCCGGTGGACAGGACAGTGTGGCCGTCGAGGGCCGCCCTGGCATCCTCGCGCTTGCGCTTCCGCCGCTTCGCCTTCGTCTCCTTCCTGCGTAGCAGGGTGTAGTTCGGGCCCACCTCTGCCACGCTGTCCAGCAGCTGGGCGGCGCTCACCATCTCGACCGCGTCGTCCTCCGGCGGAAGCTCCGCGTTGCCCGCGGCCGCCTCCCGAGCGCGCTCGTCGCGCATCCGCTCGTGGTGGGCCTGCCGACGCGCCACGCCGGCGCCCGTGTGCCTCGCCGCCGCGTCCGGCGACGGCATCGATGCTGTCTGCCCGAGCGTGACTCCCAACTCCACGATTTGCGGTCCAACCGAAATTTGGCTGCCCCCATCAAAGTTGACTTGATTCCTTAGATACATACATGCTTAGTTGCATTTCTAACTAAGTCTTAAGCGCCAAGTCTGGACGAGCTGCAGCTGGGCTTGTGGCGCTCAGCTAGGTCCAGCACACCCTCAGGGCGGAGCCGAGCGGAGCCGAGCGGAGCCGAGCGGAGCCGAGCGGAGCCGAGCGGAGCCGAGCTTAGTCCTAGAAGATGTAGGATTGCGAGCGTGGGTGCTCACAATCGCACAGAGATGCTACGATTGCGAGGAGTGCTGCTCACAATCCTTCGACTTCTAGGATTGAGAGCGAGGCTGCTCTCAATCCTAGCCTAGTAGATAAGAAGGTGCCTTCATTACTATTATTAATTAATGCTTTTTGCACGGCTGAGCCCCCCCCCCCCCCCCTCCCCTGCGCCCATTCCCTGCCCTCTCCCGCCACACATTCCGTCAGAGCCCCCTCCCCTCTTGCACAACAGGAATTTTGGACAATTAACCAGATGGGCTATGAATGGTGGGCTTGCCCACCCCGGAGTGGTTCGATCCCACATGAATCCGAGACGGTGACGGGATGCTGGCTCTGTGGTCTCAGGCCCAGTGAGGTAGTGGCTGCACGAGACATCCCGGATCCTGCTGAACAAGCTCCTCTTGTAGCTCGATCGGTCACACCGCCATCGCCGTCGGGGAGAGAGGGGACGACACTGCTTCGGCAGCGTGCACCTCGATCCTGCACCGTGTTTGTTATGACCCCCCCCCAATGAACACACCAGTGAGGGAGGGCGAGACGATCGAGGGGTCCCGTACCATGCGGAATCGACCCTATCCAGTGCTCAAGTGCTCAAGGTGCAGCCGGACGGTGATATACTCCGGCACGCCGAAAGTGGAGCTAAAAAGTCGTCCTTGACTTCTCAGCGCCCTGACGGCCCGCCGATGGCAGACCCGACTCCCTCCATCCGTGTGGCGCCGCCCGATGGTGCCGGAAACCCTATTCCGGAGCGATTTCCCCTAGGGTTAGCGCCGAGAAAGCCGGGCCCCTTAGCTCCGGCTAGGGCTAAGGGGCCTCCGCAGCCGACCGCGAGGAAGGGCCGACTTTGGGTTAGCATAGCGGGCCGATAAGGCCGCCCACACCCGCGAGGATGGTTGTGTGTTTGCCTCCCCGACTCGGACGGCCGCCTCAGAGGGCGGGAGTGCTTCCTCTCGCCCTCTCACCCGCGGGAGATGGCCGAGTCCACGGAGCCGCACGCTGCCTCTCCTTGGACGCAAGGCTCCGACTTCTATAGAGAAAACCCCATCTGCACCAGCGTTTTAAGGTGAAATCGTCAAGAGAAATCGATGCCCCGGGCTGGGCTTTGGGGTAGGCAGCCACCCTTTCGAAGGTGAGGCGTATCTGCCGACCTGTGAAGACGCTTTACTTGCGAGCAGTGCGTGGACCAGATGGCACGAGGGCACCGCAACATGGCTAAGGAGGCAGGGAAGCTTCTGCTCCGAGACGACCGCTCAGGACCGCAAAATGGTGTTCCTGAAGGTTGTGTCAGTCGGGCTGGCCAGTCCCCGGGGCCTGACAGTCCAATGTTTCCCTCAAGAGGACTTCTCCCCTACCCCACCCTTCCACTTTAGATGTGTCGGACCCGAGTTCTCTCTTGCGTGCGTTCGCGGATCTGTCCGGCGAATCGTGTGTGTATGCTGCTGCTCGCCTCCACTGCTGCACACTCGTCATTCGTCGCGCAGTCGGCACATCTGACGCAGCACCACCGCGTCGCCTCAGCGCCGTCGTGCACCGCCGTGTTGGACGCTCCCTACCGCGAGGCCGAGTACGACCCCGAGGCGGCCGACCGCTACTTCCGCGCCCGGCCGCTCGTGGCGCTGAGGCGCGCCGCAGAGATCGCCTTCCTCAGCGCAGGTTTCGTGGGCAAGGTGCTCGCTGACAAGCAGCTCGGCCGCGAGGAGGCGATGGTGGACCGCCGTTCGGAGGAGTTGCTGCAGCTGGTCACGCGGCTGGGAGTCACTGCGATCAAGGTTGGGCAGGTGCTGAGCATCCGCCCCGACCTTCTTCCGGCGCCCTACGCCAAGGGCCTCGAGAAGCTGCAGGACAGCGTCCAGCCCTTCCCGGCGGCGCTCGGCCGCGAGATCATCGAGCGAGAGCTCTCGATCCGGATCGAGGACGTCTTCTCGGCCTTCTCGGCCGAGCCGGTGGCGGCGGCCTCCATCGGTCAGGTCTACAGGGGCACGCTGCGTGCGAGCGGCGAGGAGGTCGCCATCAAGGTGCAGCGGCCGAGCGTGCTGCAGGACGTGGCGCTCGACCTCTTCATGCTGCGCTTCTTTGCGCCGGCGTACCAGGAGGCGAACGACGTCAACACGGACGTGGTCGGCCTCGTCGACGCGTGGGGGACCGGGTTCGTCAACGAGCTCGACTACACCATGGAGGCGGCGGCGACGGCCGAGTTCGCAGAGGCGATGGCGGCGCGCGGCCTCGGCTCGGTCACCTCCCCCGAGGTGGTCCCCTCCCTCTCGTCGACGCACGTCCTCACGACCAAGTGGGGTCTGAGGCCCGAGCGACTCGCTTCCCGTGAAGAGCGCTCGGTCACCCCTGCGCCCGTGGACAGGTGGGTCGAGGGCGAGCGACTGGCCTCCTCCAACGCAGACGACGTGCCGCGCCTCTGCGGCGTCGCGCTCAACGCGTACCTGACGATGCTCCTGGACACGGGCGTGCTGCACTGCGACCCGCACCCAGGCAACCTGCTGCGCACGACGGACGGCAGGCTCTGCATCCTCGACTGGGGCATGACGCAGCGCGTGCCGAGCGACCTGCAGCTCTCCCTCCTCGAGTTCATCGCCAACCTGAACGCGGAGCAGTACGACCGCGTGCCCGACGACCTCGTGAACCTCCGCTTTGTGCCCGCAGACAAGATCGGCGAGCTGCGCGCGTCGGGCCTCACGGTGGCCATCTCGAAGATGCTGCGGCTCGCGGCCAAGGGCGGCGGCCCCGCGGGCGCGATGCGGCGGATGGTCGAGGAGAACAAGGAGAAGTACGCGGCGCAGCTCAGCCAGTTCGACGACCTCGACTCGCCCGAGGCGACCAAGGAGCGGCAGCGCCTCTTCCGCGAGGACTGGCAGAGGGAGCAGGCGGCTGACGCCCTCGCGCGGGGCGGCGGGGCCCCTGCCGGCGGCGGCGGCGGCGCCGCGTCCTCCACGACGGCGGACCTGACCGCCAAGATCGAGCAGCTGCAGAGTGAAAACGCGGACGTATTTGCGATCCCGGACTACTTTGTGTACATGTCTCGCGCCTTCTCGACGCTCGAGGGGATCGGCCTCTCCTCCGACTCAAACTACGCCATCCTCAAGGAGTGCTTCCCCTACCTCGCCAAGCGCCTCCTCTCGGACGACTCGCCGCGCGCGCGCGGTGCCCTCCGCACGCTCCTCTACGGCGGCGGCGACGAGCTCAGCCTGTCCCGCCTCTCCGAGGTCGCGAGCGGCCTCGAGGCGTACACCACCTCGACGACGTCAGTCTCGGCGAGCACGGGCGCGAGCGACGAGGGGCGCAAGGCAGCAACGGAGCAGCTCGCGGCGGTCCTCCTCTCCGAGGACGGGAACTACGTCCAGTCCCTCCTCCTCAAGGAGGCGGCGGGCACTCTCGACGCCACCGTCCGCGAGCGACTGGCCACGGCGACGGCGCCGCTCCGCCGCCTGCCGCGCTTGCCGACGCCGCCCGCGCCGCTGGCACCGCTCGCACGGCCGCTCACGCTGCCACTCGAGCTCGCGAGTGCCGCCCTCGAGCTGCAGGCCGTCAGCCAGCGAGATGAGCGCAAGCTCGAGAACCTGCGGGTCCTCGCTCGCATCGCCGGCGCGGCCGGCGCGGGAGGGGGCGGCACGGCGGCGGGGAGCAAGCTTGCGGAGGGGAGCAAGCCTGCCGCGAGCACCGGCGTGATCGTGCCGACGGCGTTGGCTCGCGGCGGCGGCTTGGTGCCCTCCAGTCCTGGCGAGCGCGCCGCGGGGCTGCAGTCGCGAGTGGAGCAGCTGCGGTGGCTCGCGACTGAGGCCTCCGCACGCCGCACTGCGCTCGCGCGCACAGGCGTTCGCTTTGGCAGCTCGCTCGCGTCGGCGCAGGCCGAGCGCTTGCTCGCCCTCCGCCGCGGCAAGGACGAGGGCCATGGCGGCCTCTCCGACCTGGCGGCGCAGCTAGCGGAGGCGAGTGCGACGCGCCTTGAGGACGTCGCGGCAGCAATCGACGACTTTGATCGCGACCTCGGCGCCAGAGGGGAGGGGACGCGCCCCGGCGAGCGGCGCCGCATCTCGAGGAGATAGGAGATAGAGAGCGTGATGGGGGTGGGGTGGGAGCGCGAAAGCCGGAAAGGGAGAACCAGGGTCGCGGGGGAGGATCGGTCTTCGGTGTACGTACGTGGCATGAAAAAACGGCACAAACACACCGCACAGAGCGCGCGCGGCGCAAACGGCACGAAGGATATCATGTGCACGTGCTTCCCGCAATCCCGCAACTCTAGATGCCATGGGCTGCAGCCTGCACTACCACGACTTGCGTGTTGCGAGTTGCGTGATCTACATCGCAAGCCATCTACATCGTCTCCCGGAACTCCGCGGACATGCTGCGCATGCTGGCGAGCCAGTCCTCGGGCGGAGCCTCCTCGCCTGCGGTCGGGGAGGGGGGCGAGGGTGATGGCCGGCAGGGCCCCTCGGCGGTGCAATGGACTTGGGCGGGCCGCGCGCGCCCTTCCGACGGTGGAGCAAGGCGTACAGCGCGCGCGCGACGATGAACATGCAGCCCACGGCGATGAACAAGTCGAGGTAAAAGTTCCACGGCTCCTCGACGGTGAAGTAGACCGTCGGGTCGCCTGCCGCCAGAGCAGGGCGCGGCGGGTTGTGTCAGCGGTGCGGCTGGCGGCGAGCGCGGGCGAGGGCGGGGGCGGCGCCGGCTGCGTGGGCAAAGCAAGGTATCGTCGAGTTGTAGTCGTGCAGCGGCGCCCAGCTCGGATCTGCGTCGCAGCGGGCCCGGACCTCCTCGAGCTCCTCGCCCACCTCGCCGCGGCAGTCGTGCACCGTGCCGCCCCCGAGCGACTCGCGGGCGATCGCGTCCCAGATCGGTGTGTACGGCTCGGTCGCGTTCGCCGACGTGGCGGCAGGCGTGTCGAAGCTGGAGGAGGCGCCCAGCGTCCACTCCTCGTGCGGGTGCGCGCCTGGGCGCGGTGCGGAGGGTGAGGGGGCGCCGTCCGCTGCGCCCACCCTTGCGATAGCTGGTGGCAGCTCCAGTGATGGCAGTGGTGGCCAGGCTGCCGCAACCGCTCCGGAATGGCCTGCCGGACGCGCGCGTGTAGCGAGCTGACGGATCTAGGGCGGCGCCGGTGAGGGTGTGCTGGATCTTGTGCCAGTGCGAGTTCGCGCGGCCGTGAGCGACCGTCGGCGCCACCACAGACACGTTCCACGCTCGCTCGAGGATGAAGATCTCGCCTGCGGGCAGCGGGCAGCGCGAGAGGTGGAAGGGGGCGGCCTCCCGCGCGGCTCGGCGGGCAACACTCGGGCTCGCGCCGTTGCGGTACTCGGCGTTGCGGGCCTCTGCCCACTTCCCGTGGTGGTACCTATTGCCGCACGCCCGTGACGCGTCTCGAGAGGCCGGCGCCTCTCTCCTCCTTCCCAGAGCTGGCAGGGGATGCCGCCGCGAGACGAACGTCTCCACCTCCCAGACGCGGCACGCGGCGCGCAGCCAAGTGCCGCGGCGGTCGAAATAGTCGCGCCTACGGCGAGGGGGCGGGCCGGCTCCCCGAGGCGAGGAGGCGCCACGTGCGGTCTGTGCTGCGCGTGCTCTTCACCCCGCGTCCGAGAGCCAGTAGCCTGCGAAGAGGAGAGGGAGGAGGACGCCGAAGAGAGCGAGCTCGAGCGGGTGCCTTTCGGCGCACCTGCCAGAGGGGGGGCAGGACAGGGGTGGGCCGCCGCTTGCTCACGCGACCGAGCGGGCGTGGCCGGCGGCGAGGCGCAGCGCACCCCTCAAAGCCGCCAGGCCCCTGCGCCGCCTCTGCTGCGGACCTCGACCGTGCGCTGGCCGCGGACCTCGCCGCCGCGCTGCCGCCGCCGCCCGTCGACTCGTCGCTGAAGGCGAACGTGCGGGCCAGCAGCATGTCGTCCTGCGGCGTCGTCTTCTCCCGCAGGAGAGCCCGCAGCCCGCCAAGCACTCCGCGGCCGGCACGCTTCTTGTCGGAGCGCGGCGAGGCGTGGGGCGGCGCGGCGTGGTCGAGGCAGCGACGTGTCACGGCGCAGAAGGCGGCGGCCTCCGCAGCGGAGCTGAACGTGAACCACTTTGGCCTCTCGCGGTTTGCGAGGTTGACTCGCAGCCGAGCGCCTTCGACGTGGTTGCAGCTCTCCACTTCGCACAGTGGCACCTGGAAGAGGGCAGGGTGATGAGCCGAGCGTGGTTTGAGAAGGCGCGCGCGGGGGTGCTCGGACCTTCCGATCTCCGTAGCACAGCGAGTGGATCGAGACGGAGAGCGACACGGCACGCGGTGCCAAGAAGCGCTGGTCGACCCGCACTGAGACCGGGCCGTACGGCTTCTGCCGCAGCAGGAGGTCGGAGGAAGAGATGTCCGCATTGTACGTGGACTCGAGGTCGTTTTGCGTGGGGCCGGTCTGCATGGGATCGGCCGCTGTGTGCATGCAGTGGCTGTCAAGTCGGTGGCCCCCGTCCTCCCTTGTCAGGAGGGTAGGACTGGACCTGTTCCGACCCTGATCCGACCTCTCTCGAACACCGACCTGATCCGACCGTGTTCACTTCGAACACGGTCGGATCAGGGTCGGACCAGAGTCGGAACAGGTCAGAGTCATACCCTCCTCTTGTCGCGAATGGTGACGTTGCTGTCTCTCCCCCTTCTCGACTGTCTGTGCTTGTGCGTCTTGGGTCCGGAGTTGTGCGTTTATGTGAAGGTCACCCTTCTTTGTGAAATCGAGCGTGGGGGGCCGAGGGGAGAAGCGCTGAGGGGTGACGTCGAGTGAGGATGTCCGTCCTCTGCGTGTCTGGTGTTTATGAGCTCCGAGTAGAGGGGGAGTTCTGCAGTTAGCTAGTGGAAGGAAACCCGGAGCGCGGACTAACCCTCGGGAGACCCGTGTTTACTTTACGCGGCCCTTCCCTGCGAACGAACGCGCACCCCCCAGGGCTAGGGCTCTCTTGCCCGCAACCCGATCCCGATCATCTGGCCCGCCGGGTGTGTGCTTCTTAGCTCCCCGGCCCTGGATGTTTGAGGCTAATGACTGCACTCCAAGGTAGGTAGGTAGAAAGGTGAAGAACAGCCAGGCTCGGACTGGACACCAACGCGGTATGGGTGGACGCCGGACAGATGATGACGACACGCACGAGCGACACACACCGAGTGTCACACAGACACAAACAAGCTCACAAACTCCAAGTGCTTCCAAGTGAGAAAAGAAGAAGAAAATCGGCCATCCGCACTCCAAGTGCTTGTCCAAGTGCCGGGGTGGTGTGGCTGCGATAAGTGGCCACCCGTTTATTATTGACAACAACCAAGGCGCTCTAAACAAGAATTTCACGAAAAAAGAGTCGACATCGTAGTGCTGCGTGGCACCGTGGCGGGCGGGACTCGACGCGCAAGTCGCCCTCGTGGCGCCATGCAGCCGTCGGCCAACACCTCGCGCGCCTTCAACTCCGCACCTCGGGCGCCCTCAAAAGAGCTGCACCGCCGTTGGGAAACTCCTTGCCGTTGGCAAACTCTTTGCGCACCAGCCGCTCCGCACCTTGCCCGCCCTCGAAGTACGCAACGGCACCGTCGGCACGCACCACGCGGACCGTCCGCTCCGCACCTCGCTCGCCCTCGAAGAACTGCACCTCGCCGTTGGGAAAGTCCGCGCGCACTTTCCGCTCCGCGCCTTGCCCGCCCTCGAAGTACGCAACGGCACCGTCGGCACGCACCGCGCGCACGATCCGATCAGCACCTTTCTCGCCCTCGTAGTGCTGCACACTGCCGGTGGCAAACTCCGCGCGCACCATCCGCTCCGCACCGCTCTCGCCCTCGTAGTACTGCACCTCCTCGCCATTGGCAAACTCAGCGCGCGACAGCCGCTCCGCACCACTCTCGCCCTCGTAGTGCTCCACCCCGCCGTCGTCGGCTAACTCCATGCGTACCAGCCGCTCCACACCTCGCTCGCCCTCGTAGTGCTGCACACTGCCGTCGGCATACTCAGCGCGCACCATCCGCTCCGCACCGCTCTCGCCCTCGTAGTACTGCACCTCCTCGCCATTGGCAAACTCAGCGCGCGACAGCCGCTCCGCACCACTCTCGCCCTCGTAGTGCTCCACCCCGCCGTCGTCGGCTAACTCCATGCGTACCAGCCGCTCTGCACCTTGCTCGCCCTCGTAGTACTTCACGTTGCCATTGGCAAACACCGTACGCACCATCCGCTCCGCTCCTCGCTCGCCCTCGAAGTGCTTCACCTGGCCGCTCTGCAAGAAACGCAGCCGGAGCTGCGCGCCATTCTCGCCGCGCAGCAGCCTCCAGACCTCGGCTCGGCGCTCTGCGCCCTCCACTTCCGACGTGAGGCGGAGCGCCGGGCTCACCCTCGCAAGCCACGGGAAGTGGTCGGCGCTGGCGCGGCGGTCGGCGGCGTATCTGCGGAGGGTGTCCTCGCTTAGGGTCGTGTCCATGATCGACGAGCCCAACGATGCGACGAAGCGCTCGACGAGCAGTAGCCGCATCGCCACGGCGAAGAGCGGGTCCTTGAAGCGCGCCAGGCCGCTGCGCAGGGCGAGAAGGCCGAGGCGCGGCGACGCGAGGCTGAAGGCGGCGCAGTCGGAGAAGTCGTCGACGCCCTCGAGGATGCGGAGGTGCAGCTCGTGCGGCAGCTCGGCCAGCCAGTCCGTGGGCGGGGCGTCGTCTGCGGTGCGTGCGGCGCGAGGGGAGCGCGACATATACACATACGAGCACGTGAGGTGTGCTGGACAGCGGGGCGGCGCGTGGAAAGAAGAATTCTGCAATTTTAAACACACATATATATGGGGAGAGGTGCTGGTCACACGGCAGCGGCGTTCGGGTGAGAAGAACTCTGATGGGCGCGAGGTACTCCCACGCCTCTCGGGGTTTTAGTCTGGCCGAGTCAACCAAAGATGCTGGGGCGAGCCTCGGCGAGACTGCGTCAGCTGTTCCCACAGCAGGCTGGAAGTACCTCGCCAGCTCTGATGCACAATGGCCAATGCGTGACGGCTCCGCGTCGCTACCGCCTCCGCCGCCGCCGCCGCCGCCGCCGCCTCCGCCGCCATCGCCATCTCCGCCGCCAACTTATGGCAGCCCTAGCGGCAGCGCCAGTGCGCGCACATAAGGGGGGGGGGGGGGTGGTTAGGGGGTGGCTGTCGAGGGCTATGCCCGAGTCTGTTGTTACCAGCGCACATACGACCCTATAGCCAACTTATGGCAGCCCTAGCGGCAGCGCCAGTGCGCGCACATAAGGGGGGGGGTGGGTTTATTAGGGGATATAGGGGTTAGGGGTTAGGGGTTAGGGGATTAGGGGGTAGGGGGCAGAGGGGTTGAGTTCAGGGGAGGGGGGGGGGGTGCGTAATACGTATGCGTAATACGTGGTGCGTAAGCCTCTCCGACACCTTGGGCTGTGCGAATGCATAAAACGTATGCGTAATGCGTGAGGCGTAACCCCCGATGGACGCCACTTCTCACTCGAATCCGGAATGCGTGAGCGTAGTACGTGGTGCGTTGCCCTCTCCGACACCTTGGGCGTGCGAATGCATCAAGCGTATGCGTAATGCGTGAGGCGTAACCCCCGATGGACGCCACTTCTCACTCGAATTCGGAATGCGTGTGCGTAGTACGTGGCGCGCAGGCCCTCTCCGACACCTTGGGCGTGCGAATGCATAGACGTTAGCGTAATGCGTGAGGCGTAACCCCCGTCGGCCGCCACTTCTCACTCGAATCCGGAATGCGTGTGCGTAGTGCGTGGTGCGTAGGCCCTCTCCGACACCTTGGGCGTGCGAATGCATCAAGCGTATGCGTAATGCGTGAGGCGTAACCCCCGTCGGCCGCCACTTCCCCGATCGGCCGAACAAGGTGGATGCAGAAGACAGATTCGTAATGCGCAAGGCATTTGTAGCTTCCTCAGGCGCCACTTGGCTCGGGCACGACACCGAAATACGCGACGTCCTGGCGACGTCTGGCCGACGCACTATGGATCGCGGGCGCGTATTTACATAACATGGCCGATCTGTGCATTCTGGGCGACTACATTCTACATATGCGTAGCAGTACGGCTCACCTGTCACCTCCCAGAAAACAGAAACGGAGGGATGGGGAGGACGCTGGACGGCACGCCGCCACCACACAGGGATTTTAAGGAGAGGAGTGTGGTGCTAGCCGTCGCCCACCCTTGGGCGTCTGCCTCTTCCTATGAATCTCTCTCTTCGCAGTCCCTCGCCGATTCTCGCTGGCGGTCGTCCCATCTTTTGGGGGGCGCACCGCCAGGCGCGTCCCCACTTTTGCCTATCACAGCTGCCAGGGCCAGCAGCCGAGCCCAGGAATTCGGAGCTTCAGGTTCAGGTTCCTGGGTTCGGACTTTTTGCGGGGTATGGTATGGTATTCTCGCGCAACCCACCTCGAGACCATACTACCCCCCCGCCTGCTGACAGACCCAGCTTCCCCCCCGGGTTTTGCCATACCATACCCCGCAAAAAGTTGGAACCCTGACGCTTTTTTCGACGTGGGCCGAGCCAGCCGAGCATCAACGTCTGCTCGTACACGAGTCACGAGACACCCATGCTCACCACAGCAATCTTCAGCGCGCGCCCAGCAACGCCCGCGCTCGCCTCGAGCGCACGGCTCGCTGCTGTCGCCGTCGCCTCGTATTCAGATCTCGCTCACCCACGTCAAACCTCCCGCTCTGCCGCCTCGTGCGGTCGCCGTGCTGCCCTCCTCTCGCTGCTGCTGCTATCAGCGCCGACGCGCCCGGCGGGCGCGAGCAGCCCGGCGTCGTTTGCTCAGATGGCTCAGGCCGCCTTTGCAGCCTTCGAGCGCGCCGATTACCTCGAGAGCGAGCGGCTCTGGCGCGCGGCCACGGAGCAGCACCCAAAGGAGGGCCTGGGGTGGGCCAACCTCGCGGTCGCGCTCATCATCAACGCCTCCGACAAGATGACGCTCGGCGTGCTTCCCACCGGCGAGCCGCTGCAGAGGCTCGAGGAGGCGCTCTCCGCGACCGAGCGAGCGGAGGCGCTCGGCGCCGCCGACGGCATTCTCCTCAACTCGCGCGGCAACGCGCTAGGTCTGCTGCAGCGGTGGGGGGAGGCGCGTGCCGCGTACGCCGCGGCTACGACGCTCTCGCCGCGCGACTTTGAGTCGATTCCGCGCTCGAATGAGGCGCTTGCGCTCATGCAGCTCGAGGAGCCCGCGCAGGCTGAGGCGCTGGTGAGGCGGATCATGCGGAGGGATCCGAACTTTGTCGACGCGTTCGCCCTGCTGGCGGCAGTGCGCTGGATGCAGGGCGACCCGGGTGGGACGGCCAGAGCCATCGCCCAGCTGTGCGGCGGCGGCGACGGCAGGATGTGGTGCGCGCGCTACTCGACCGAGCAGGTGGTGCTCGGGCGCTGGACGCCGCGCGCGGTGGAGGCGTACCGCGAGCTGCTCAAGGAGAAGAGCGTCCAGCTCGAGCTGAAGAATGGACTGATCTGAGGTCTCAGTTGTGAGTGGTGAGCCGACATACTGTACCGCAAAGTGTACCGCAAGCGCGTGGGCGCGGTGTGTCGGGTGTGGCGCCGTGGGCGGGCCCGCCGTGGCGGCGGGACGCCGGTCGCCGCCACAGCTCGCCACGAGCACGCAGCGACAAAAAGTTGACTGTCCCGGGGGCGCCCGGCCGGGTGCACCTCGCCCTCGGCGCTCGGGGCGGACAGCACTGTTCAGCACGCGATTTTTTTAACGACGCGAGAGCGCTGTACACATATGATAACAGAGCTATCATCCGAGGCTCGGCTCACGGCTCTCGGCTGTCGGCAGCTCAGTCCTCTGTGGCGAGATACGAGCGCACGGAGACAGCCCACGGCCCGTCACTGGCCCGCGCGGTGCGAGCGCGCCCGAGGGGAGCGCGGGGCGCCTCTCTCCCTAGAAGGCGCCGCGGATCGCGCCGAAGAGCGAGGCGATGCCGTGGTAGACGGGCGTCGCGAAAAAGATGGGCGACTGGTCGACGACGGCGGTGTGCCAGACGGCCTCCTGCAGCGCGAAGCCGGTGATGGCAAGCATCGCCACGCGCCCGTGCGTGATCTCGGCCGTGTCGATGTTGGCCTTGACGTTTGCCAGCAGCTCCATCCGCTCCGCCTCGCTCGCAGGCGCCACATCCGAGCGCTCCACCTGCGCAAGCAGAGGCAGGGCGGGCTCGGCAACAGAGGCAGAACAAGCGGGCGTGGCGGTGAGGAGGAGGACGCGCGGTGCGGAGGGGGGGGCGCGCGCCCAGAACTTGGCGATCGCGCCGCGGAGGTCGAGCGGGTCGAAGCCGTAGTCGCCCGGCGAGTAGTTCCACGCCTTGTCCGCACTCTGCCAGCCCTCAAACTGCTCCTTCACGGTGGCGCTCTCGAGCAGCGCCGCGACGCCAACGGCTGCACGAGGGCGGGCGAGGAGGCGCGTTGCGGCGGCGGGGGGGCACGCGGCAGGGCCACGCGGGAGGAGGAGCTGCCACCTGCGAGCCAAAAGGCGCCGCCGAACTGGCCGAGGCCTCCGTTCAGGACGGATGGCGCGCGGCCGTCCGTGAGGTCGAGCATCGACTGGGCGCCGAGGAGATACGCCGCCGGCTCGTGCAGCAGCTCCGACCCCACCCAGCCGGCCACGCCGAGCATCGCCAGCCGCCCGTGCTTGATCTCCGCCTCGCGGTACGCAAGCAGGTGCGCCTCCGTCTCGGCGAGGTTCAGCGGGTCAAAGCCGACGTCGCCCGGCAGCTTGAGCGAGTTGAAGACCGAAAGGTCGGCTCCCGGCGCGTCGCCCCACGTGCGCGCCTCCTTGGCCCGCAGGGTCGCGCCGAGCCACTCGAGCGAGGCGTCGACGTCCGCAGCATGCGCGTCGATGAGCCGCTTCTTCGAGGCGACCATCTCGTCAAAGGTGGGCGGCTCGGCGGGCATAACGGGCGCGCCGGCACGCATCGCCACCGCGGGCGCGTGGAGCGACAGTGGTGAGATGGGAGCGAGAACCATCGCGCCGACCCCTGGGAGTGCACCAGGTTGGCCTCTGGATTGAGCTCGACCTCGAGGTCGGCGGAGAATGTGCCCGCGCGCCCGACCTCGCGGACGAGCCGGGCGCTCAGGACTTGGAGTCCCTCAGCGCGCATCTCGACGGCGAGGCTGTAATCGTCCAAGTGGAGCGCTGTGCGTGACCCCGCACGAAGGTGGCGAGTGCGCCGGCAGAAGAGGGCGTGAATCGCCCGTGCGTCTACCGGCGGCTGCAGGTCCATGTAGTTGCTGACCGGATGGTGCACACGCAACAGCGCCAGCCAGACCGTGTCGAGCGCCTGCTTCCAAATCTTGTTCACTCCCGCTATTTGGTGCGCGTCTTCAGGGGAGCCAAGCTCTGCCACGCGGATGATCATGTCGAGAGAGAGCAGGTATGCCATTGAGAGCGGCAGCAGTCGTGAGCGGCAGTCGCGAGCCGGCGGCCAGTCGTGAGCGGCCAAAATCATCGCGCACTGTTTTTCTTCCAAATTTGCTGGACAGTCAAGGGCCATGGCTGCGCTGGCGTAATGTGCCGACGAGAATGGCGACACATTGCCGACAAAAACACCTGCTTTGTTTTCAACCAGCACGCTCACCTGCTTTACCGTTAGCTCATGCCTCAAGCCTCAAGCGTCAAGGCCCCGCCAGCTCCACCTCAAAAGGGAACGGCCCTCCTGTTCCATTCCTCTCCCACCACTCCTCCGGGTCGCCGCCCTCCTTTCCAAGCACGCGGCGGAGGCCCTCCAGCACCGCGGCCCGATGCGACGCCGGCACCACCACCGCCCCCGGCGCAGCAGCCTCGCGCTGCCTGCGCTCCGCGCGGTGGTGCCGCGCAATCTCTGAACCGACGCTGTCGGCGTCCGCAACCCAATTGCGCTTGGATCCCGACCCGGCGCTGCCGAACGTCGCTGCTGTCGGGGCGGTAACGAACGAGCCGCCGCTGCCTGCCGCGCCGCCGCTGTGCAGCACCACGCCGTGCGGGATGCACCCGGCCTCGCCGCCCGGCCTCGCCGCCGGCTGCTCCATGCGGGCCTCGTCTCCCCGCGCCGCCGCTTCCTGGCGGCGGCAATCCTCCGCATCTGCCCCTCCCTTCGCCTCCCACGCCTTCCTCATTAGTTCGACGTTGTTTCGCCGCGGCGGCACGAGGGGCTGCTCCGGCTCGACGGGTCCTGCACCGCCCTCGTCGGCACCGCCCGGCGCCGGCAACACTGGGCCCAGCCCCACGTCGCGCAGCTGGTCAAACGACGCCACGTACTCGACGGGCGCGGCCTCGTCCGCCGTCAGCTCCTCCGGCTCGGGGAGGCGAGGCAGCACGCCGGCGGCGGAGCTGCCGCCGTTGGAGCCGCCCTCGGCGGTCGGCAGCGCCTTGAGCCGCAACCAGCTCCTCGCGCCGCCGCCTTCCCACGCGGTGTGGCCGAGGACGAGCATGGCCCGCGGGGTTAGCTCCGACCGCAGCCACACCACGTCGCCCGCCGCAAAGGGTACCCTCCCGAGCGTGTTGCGTGCCGGAGGCGGCGCGGCCGCGGCTCCTGTAGGGGGGGGGGGGAGGCGCGGTCGTCAGCAGGGGCGAGCGCCTCCTCGCACCCACGGCGGGGAGACGGGCGCGCGCCTGCCGGCTCCTCTCCGTCGCTCGCGTAGGCCTCGCCTCCCACGCCCGTCAGCGCCCGCATCTCGGCCGCGAGCTCGAGCGACTGCTCCTTGCTGACCGCGCCAGAGTGGAGGAGCTGGCGGATGCTCTCCGCGGGCGGCCGCCAAACATTCTCGTCACAATACCACGAGAGGGCACGGAGCAGGGTCTCCCGCTGCGAGGCGTGCCCCGCCGCCTCCATCGCCAGCCACGCGTCGCGGAAGCCGTTGTGCAGTGCGGTCACCGCATCCTCCTCGAGGAGGAAGGGCTCGCCCGACGGCTGGGGCTGGAGGCGGAAGTGGCGGGTCGTCCTGCAGCCGCGATCCCCCCGGAGGGGCCACGTCTCCTCGAGGATGAGGTGCGGCTGGTGCGGGCTCGCCCCCCCAGGCAGCCGGCCGGGGCGCAGAAACACCACGCGGCCGACCTGCAGCGTGGCGGTGCGAGGCTTCTTGCGCGGTTTGGCTCGCAATGCGTCGGCGCCGAGGCTCGGGGCCGCTCCCCAGGACGGCGCGCTGCTGCTGCTGCCGCGGGGCGGCCTGATGCTGTACTTCTTATTGCGGTCGTCCAGCCGCACGTGGAGGGCGACGAGCTCCTCCTTGATCCGGTCCGCCTGTGCGGATGTGTCGTGGACATGTCATGGACGCGTCATAGATGGGCGGAGGCTCGATGATAGGGAGATGTCATCGAGCCTCCGCCCACTCGCGCCGCGAGCGGAGCGCGTCCCGCCGCTCGAGCAGCTCGAGGACCCGCAGCAGGGTTGGGTCGGCTCCCACTGCCCCCCCGCCACCGCCTCCGCCGCTGCCCGCTCCCTCGCACCCGCCGCTGCCCGCCCCCTCGCGCCCGCCCGGACCGCTCCCACTCGCGCCGTCGCGGGAGGGCGGAGCGCCGCTGCCGCGGTCGCGCTCGGGCTGTGCGTCGCCGCCGAGCCGAGCTGGCTTCGACGCCGCCTGGTCACCGTGGCCCCGCCGTCTGTGGCCGACGGCGAGCCTGCTCGGGTCCCGCCTCTCCTAGGGCGGCGCGGGCAAGCACTTAGAGAGAGGTGGGGGGGTTGTGGAATGGGGGGCGCGCCGGCGCGCCTGGTCGAGGAGCCGCTGCAGCATGGCCTTGGCCTCGCCGTCCGTCAGCTCCTTCCGGACGAGGGGCGTGATCTGGCAGATCCGCACCGTCCAGTGCCTGCGGGCGTCGGACAGCGGGCGCGAGACGGGGTGCAGCACGTCCATGTTGCAGCAGGCGAGGTCGGGCGAGGTGTCGAGCTCGACCTCCCGGCCGCGGTACGTCTTGAGCTGCTTCCTCCGGCCGAGCAGCCGCGTGTCCCACAGCGTGCGCGTCGCGTACACGTGCGGCGACACAATCGCCTCAAACAGCCAGCCGCTCGGGCCGCGCTCGCCAAAGATGGCCAAGAGGAGCGCGTCGCTCAGATCGGACAAGGAGGGGTACGTGCGCGACTCTCGCAGCGCGCGCCGCACCCGCTGAACCGCCTCGTCGCCCAGCCGCTCGGCGAGCACGCCGACGGGGTCGAGCTCGATCACGCGGGAGGTGCCCAGCACAAAGAGGTCGTAGTCGACGACCTCGACGATGGCGAGGGGCCGCGAGCCCTCCGCCGGCGGGGCGGGGTCGAGCGACCAGCAGGGGTCGGTCGCGTCCGAGGGGAGCCGCCCGGGCGGGTGGGCGCGCCAGCCAGGCGGCTCGGGGAGGTAGGTGTAGACGGAGGCGGAGGGCCGCACCATGGGCCGACGTGTTTCTTTCCGAGCCAAAAAGAGTTGACCCTCCGGGGCGGCCCCGCCCCTGGGGGCAGGTTTGGTTCAAGGCAGGCAGCGAGCCGAAGCTCACACGCTGCGTGTGACACGGCGGACGAAAAGGAAACAGAGGCTTGCTAGGAAAGCTGACACAGACGATACTCGAGAGCCCTTTTTTCGAGTGGTAGAGAGATGGAGCTGCGCGACACTATCAAGCCATCTCCTCCCGTCTACGTGCTGCAGCAATCGTCCTGATGCAACCGGTGTGAATACGGACAAAGAAGAGTCGGGACGGAAATATTTACCTATGAACACACCAGTGTTGTGCCAGTGAGGGAGGGCGAGACGATCGGAGGGGTCCCGTACCATGCGGAATCGACCCTATCAAGTGCTCAAGTGCTCAAGTAAGAGGAAAGAAACCTCGCGCTGATGACTCGGCTGCCGCTCGCCTGGCGGAGCAGGACTCGAAGGAATGCTTGGCAAATGGATGGTGGGTCATATGTGCACATACCGCATTTTAGGTGCTGAACCGCTTCGTGCACCCCAACCAGTCTCCCACGATGCAACTTTGTCGGAAGGCCCCCGCACGGGGGGTCCCGGCCGACGTCATGCGCGTCTGGACACGGCCCTCCGTACACGGAAACAGGGTACCGGAGGCATTCCCGAACTCAAAACAGGGTACCAAGGGCAGATATGAGCTCAGCTCAGTGAGATCTAGCAGCACATACCCTCGGTACCCAGAATAGTCCAGTCTGAAAAAAGTCGGTCCGACCTCGCGGAGCCGTCTGGCTGTCTGCAGAGCCCCCGCGGCGCGCGGCACGCCTGGTCCTCTCGCGGCGACGAGGAGGGAGCGAGCGCCAAGAGCAGCGTCAATCCTGTGTGCGAGGGGGAGGAAAGACACTTATGCTCGTAGGTCAGGGAGGCGTAGATGGCCGGGATCAACCACCTGCACTCGGATGAGCCGCAGCCTAATCTCCGCCGTCGCTGCAGCAAGCAGCAGCTTGCCAAAGCGCAAAGGAGCCGCCAGCGTGGAGTATAGATGCCAAAGCCCTGCTCCATGGTGTTCGCCACCGATACGCGAGCCCCACTTTTCTTGCTGCGCACTCTCATCTATTTTGTGGACGGGACGTAGCCTTCTGGCACGGGCAAGACCTCGGCTGGCACGTAGGAGGTTGAGGTCCGGGCTCCCCTAGTCCCATGTTGACGACACCAGTAGACAGCTCCTTGCCGAGCATTGTCCATTGATGTGCAGAGGGCCTGGTAGATGACTGGACCAAAGCACTGCACACCGGAACCAAACACTGCATGCACTTGCTCTCTTCCGGCCCCGCTGTGCTCTTGGAATGCAGCGTTGCACGGCACAGGCAGTGCGGCAAACGGTGATGCTCGGTCATCATCGCCTCCGTGCTTGTCCCTGCAGCCATACTGCGTCAGTTAGTGGCTAGGGATCCTTTTCCGGGAGTGAACCAGCGCGAGTGACTAGCCGAGAGGAGAAGAAGCGCGCCCACAGCGCGAGAGGCGGTTTCACAGTCGAAGAGTCGGTACCTCCGAACAAGCTACCACGCGCCTTCTCAGTGAGGCTTCACCGTCAGGCTCCAACCTCCAAGCCACCAGACAACGAGAAAAACCACCCACCACCATCCCTCTGACACCACCGAGGCTCTCGGAGGGGACGGGAGCTCCAAAGAAGAGCACCGCGCCCCTCCTCCAAGGCACATATGTCCCAAAAGAAGGGCATGAGAGCCAAGGTAGGAAAGAGCGGAGTTCACACTGGGTTCCGGCTCCTAGCCAGATAGGGGGTCTGTTCCCTACGGTTAGACCCCATGCAATAGGTAGGTAGGTCCGGTTTTGACCGCCCCAGAGGGCCCCGCAATAGGTAGGTAGGTGGCGGTGGTGTGGAGGGGGTGGGGGGGTAAAAGTAAAAAAACCCAAGAGAGAGTAGTGGGAAGGCGGGAGAATCCAAAAAAGCCGCGCAAAAAGCCACAAAACCCAGCGAGCCTCCCGTTACGCGATTGCTCGCGATGATGCGTGGCCAGCGCGGGAGCAGGTCGGCGCCGACGCTGCCAGAACTAAGACGAGACCGCTAGGAAAGGTTTCTTTTTTTAGCTTCGGCGTTACCTCGGCGAGGCGCGGCGGAGCAATGACGGATGAGCTGAAGGGGAAGGATAGAGGAGCGGGTGACGGTCCCTGCACGGGGCAGGCGAAGGGTTGGTGAGGGAGGGCGCATGCGGGGAGAGGTAGGGGGAAGGAGGGGAGGAGAGGGGGGGGGAGTAGGTCGGAACCCTACTGCACTGCCTGGAGGTCAGCCCCACGAGGAGGTCAGCCCTGCAGTCTCGCAAGTAGTGAGGCGACAGGAGAGGGGAGGAGGGAGGAGGTCGAGGCGCAGGAGGGGCGGCGTTGGCCCACGCCGATGGTGTCGAGGCGGAGGGCATATGGGAGGGGAGAGGGGAAAGATCAGGCGGCGCACGGCGAGCTCGCCCCTCGGACGAGGGGCAAACTCGATCCCACACAAGGAGGGG